AAACACACGGACCTTGGACCCTCCTGCATTGGAAAGGAACAACTCATAAAACCCAGTTGGAAAACAGAGGGGCCCACATTGCTTCCTTTTTGGATTTTATGTGTGATCCCATCTCTGGATTGAAGGGTCGGTACTTGATCATATATGGAATCGGGACGGAAGCGGAAGTAACAATCCTACTTTCGAATTCGTTTTAGACTAATAAGTCATTTGGTGGTGACCGGTTAAGTTTTAGGTGTCTGAGTAAGATGGTTAAGGTTAGGGATGAGGGTGGGTTGGGGTCATTCTGTGGGAATGGCTGGTTAAGTTTAGGCATGAATAGGTAGATGTTATATTTACTTCCACTTCCGTCCCAATTCCGTATATGATCTAGTGCTGACCGTGATTGAAGTACCACTGGCCCTCCCACTTCCTGGAAGTCCACAGCTCCAGGCTCTGATTGGAAGAGCAGCGTTACACCTGACACTTTTACTTGTACTTCCTACTGTTCTGTAACTGGTGATGCAACACTGACATTTCTGGAACTGCCCTCTACCACACAATAGGCTCTTTGTAGTGTTGTGATGTCACTTGAACGCAACCTACATTAACATCAAGCTTGGATAAATAGATAAACTTACTTAAACAGTTACATCAGCAATCACTATTTACACAACCAAATAAAAAAAGGTAAAAGGCTCAACCTGTGAACCTTTAGGAGACTGCGACCCACATAGTTCCTAGGTCAGTGGAATAAAGCAGAAGATGTTTTGTGCGTTTTAGCTCTCTGCAGTGTCCTGGTGTGAGACAGAGGTGAGAGAGAAGTATAGAGTTTCTATTTTATTTATTGGGATCTTATATAAGCAACAGCGGGAGATAGGCCGAGGCAGAGCTGAGGAAAGGGCAGAAAGTCAGGCAACAATAGTTTGAAGCGGGGGAGGTTTAGCACCGCACAGAAACTAATTTAAGTAAGTTAGACTGGTAATGGAATAAGAAGGTGATAGGTCCAGAAACAATTGGTCAAAAGAATCAAAACATCATGTAATATAGTCTACTGCAAGAGCACAAGTTTACATACACTGGCAATTTTAGGATCCTCCTCATCTTAACCACATCCTTTAGGCCATGAATGATCAAGGTATGGCAAGTTTATGTGTATAGCACAGTTCATACACCAAGCAACTCAAGGAGAGAGAGAGAGAGAGAGAGAGAGAGAGAGAGAGAGACAGTTGAGCCTCTTCCACATTGTTCCGAAGTGGTGCTTAGACTAGTATCACAGTCCACTTTACTGTTGGTAAAGAAGCTACCCCTCGCCTATGACTAGCCTTGCTTTGCTGTGGTGATTAAGCAGAAGCAATAGCTGTTAATGTCAGTGCACAACAACAGTTTATCACCAAGTTATCAACTGTTATGTCCTAAATGAACATTCGTGAATGGGGGACGTCTGGATGACCTGTCGAGACGTGAAGTTTGCTGGGATATGGTGCCAGATACGAAAGCGCAATGGAAATGCAACCAGGTAGAATAGATTGAAGTAGAGTAGGGCCAAGTTGGGCTGGTGGTGGAAACAGGAAACAAGTACAGCAGTCTTCAACAAGTTATTAAAGAAATGTTGTCTCTAATGCAAATGTTTTGCATAAGAGACAACTGTTGACTGATTTAGCAACAAGCTGAGGTTTCTAGATGTTTCTATGACACTTCTCGAGTTTGATTGTCAGTCTGTTCTCTCTTTGGATCTGGCTCCAAATTACAGCTCTCAGCTCTGTCCTGACAGTAGGACAAAGACTGAATGACAGCATACCTGTGCGGTGACGACGAGAACAAACAGATTCTAACCACTTCAGTCATCTGGTCTACAAGAATACAGTAACTGAACTTGTTTATTCAGAAAAATCAGGACCAGCAAAAAATCTCCAAAGTCAATGCAAATCAAATGAATCTTTTTCAAAATACCATCATTATGTAAAATACCCACTGATGCAGAGGATAAGCTTCAAACACGTTTTCACCTTTTGCTTGAGTTTGACACCCCTGCTTTAAGATAATCATACATTAATTCACATTCTAAAACATGAATTGACAAAGTAGAATATCATTATACTTTTACTTATTATGTTGTCTGGATTGCGTTGTTGAAGATGTGATGATGTCCTACAGTGAAGCCTAGAATTACCTGCTCGTCATCAGAACGCTGCCTGCTGTTTGATGCTCTATTGTTTGTTGATCCTCTTGAGCCTCTGGGTGAGAAGGGAATGTTACCGATCCTGCTGCACCAGCCAGATGACGCACACAACACACGCACAACACATACACACACACTCACAGGGAGGACATTCAACTCAGTCCCCATTGAGTGATTTGTATGAACCAGGAGACACAGGGACCAGGAGCCGGACTTGTCTCCCTGTAACTAAAAATCAAAAACTGATCCTTCTGCATTGATTGTGTTATGTAAAAAGCTTTTCTCTCTCAAGACGACGCTAAAACACTTGACGTCAAAAGGTTAACACAATGATTATAAGATACACATTAGCTGCTGGAACAAGGTTCTCTCTGGTTCATGTGGGAATGGAATGTGAGTGGATTGTCAAAATATACACCAGGCTATACTCTACTACAGGCATATATACACACAGACTTATTACAAGTATACACACTTTTTACACTCACATACACCCATGTCCATGCCCCATACAGCTGTAACAAAAAAACAAAAACAAATCCCTACACTATAGAATGATCAGCTCCTGTTTAGATAGTGCCCAAAGAGAAAACAGCTCTATAGGAAGAATTGTTTGTACAGTATTTTGTATCTACTTATGAAACAAAAGTGGAAAAAGAAAATGGCCAAATGTTTTCCCAGATCTTTATTTGATAGAGATTAGATTCACAAACTTGACATGTCTGATTAATCTGAAAGTCCTTTTTCCTGACCAACATCATGCATTTGTTGTTTTGAATAATGTCGCCACTTAAGCTATCAGACCATAGTGACACGTTCTGACAACCATTCAGATTAAGAGATCCTTTATTCGTCCCACAGTGGGAAAATGTCAGTGAATATTTGGTTTTGTTTCATGTGGATTTGCTCCGGAATTAGAAATTGTGTGAAATCTGACTTGACAGTTACCATAGTTCGCAGGACACCCACATTTAAACTATAAGCTCTTTAGAATGTTGTGATGTCACATGAAACCAACCTGTTGTTGTAGGTGTGGACAGCTTTCAGCCTCTGATTATGTACTGTAGTTTACATCCATCATCACATGATGAAACTTAAACTCTTCACTCAGGGACCCCAACACATTCATGAGCATCAGCTCACGACTGACTCACTTATGCACATTGAGGCCCAGGAAGATTAGAGCTACACTGACTGTCACCAGTCTGAATAGTGCTAATCTTCCACGCCTGAATATGTGTTCTGATTCAGACCCAAGGGACTTTAAAACAACATATTTGTATGTCGTTTTAAAGTGGTAGTTTAATTTAATTGAATAGGCCAGATTCTATACAACTTAAAATCTATAAATCATAAGAGAGAGGTGGTAAAACAGATTTGAATCCTCTTGGGGCTTGCATTTTTCCTGCTCTGTGTAAAGTGCTGATGTTTACCTGGAGACAAATGCCCCGGAGTTACATAATGAAGCAGCTACTGTCTGTAATAAGTCTCTGTGGAGGACAAGAGGTCCCAGAGGCGCACAAAGACTTAATAAGAGTTTGACCTGGTTTAAGGCTCACCGCAGTATTCCAGGTTTTACCAGAAAGAGCAAAGAAGCCCACGTGAGTACGATTTGTTCTCTTCAACTATTTGACCTGATTTTGATCATCTTTTGTAGGATCACTGGGTTCATGATATTCTTTTTATCAACTCATGACTCCCTCTAGAGGCGATCATGTTCCAGCTAATATCAACAAAAGCAACTGGGTAACTGTAACTGTAAATACACACCCACAATCACATGTTGGGCAGAACAGTGGCTGAGTGGTTAGCAATTCCAGCAAGATGGTTCAATTCCACCTCTAGACGGGGACATTCTGAGTAGAGTTTGCTTGTCATCCCTATCTTTGAGTACGTTTTTTCCAGGTGTTCTGGTTTCCCATACCAATAAAAACGTGTACAATAGCTCCCTCACTCTGGGACCAGGACTTCCTTGAACAAGATTCTGAAATCTCAATGGAACTTTCCTGGTCATTACAAAAATCAGGTTAATAAAAACATATCTGGACTGACCTTCATTTGTCATCTGCCAGTTTCCTTTAAAGTAGATGTTTTTTTCTCTCCATGACCTCACACCAGAGTACATCTGTGACATATGAACCAACTCTGACTGGGCTCCTGCTGGTGCCCAGTCATGACTACAAATGGGGAGGTAACTTTTCAGATTCATGCAGCTAAAATCTGGAACAGTCTTCATGACAATGTGAGGAAGGCGTCTACTTGGACTATGTTCCAATCAAGGTTAAAAAGCGTTTGGTTTAGCCGTGCAGACGACTGCGGTTGTGAATTAGGATTTCAGAAAAATACATTGAATTGAACAGAATTATAGAAGACTAGTATATTTTTAGATCCTGATTTTGTCTCAGGCTTGAGGATGAAATACAGTCATCCCATTCTTTTACAGTTACTTAAAACCCATTTTTTGTGCTACACTTACATAATACAGCATTTTTCAGAACACTAGTAAATGATTTCTAAGGACGTGCGTCATTATCCTGTCTGGTAAATTCTTCACTTATATTCTACTCCCGTCCCATTAACCCTTGCATCATGTTTGCCAGCAGGACAAAAACAATGTGTGGCTTTGTTTCATAACTTCTCAATTCCAAAGGTAAACGGTGCATGAATCATTGTGGATCTATAGATAACTGAAAACGCAGAGAATGCCCGGATTACGCAAGACTTTTTATTTTGCGCCTCCGCTGTACACAAACAAGTCTCCTACACAATCAAATATACAAAACAAAACATGGCCCACTCGCATTATTGAGCTGCTCCGAAAAAGAAATATAAAAAAGAACTATTCATCATCTTCATCGTCCACTTCTCCTTCCTCTCCCTCCTCTCTCTCCTCTCTCTCCTCTCCCTCCTCTCCCTCCTCTCTCTCCTCCCTCTCCTCCCTCTCCTCCCTCTCCTCCCTCTCCTCTCCCTCTTCTCTCTCTTCTCTCTCTTCTTCTTCCTCCTCCTCCTCTTCATCGCTCATCACATATTTTTTCTTCTTTGCAGAGAATTCCTCGTCGGATTCCGCCTTCCTCTTCTCGGATCCTTCTCCCTCCTGAAGATGAATAAGATGAAGCCGATCAGACACAGGAAATATGCATGGGAATAAAACAGATGCAGTATTTACAAAACGCTGCAGCTCGAGTCCTGACTAGAACCAGGAAGTACAATCACTTTAGTCGAGTTCTGAGGTCTCTTTCTCAGGCTCAGAAAATGGACTTTAAAAGCAGCTCTGCTTGTTTGCAAAAGTATTCTTTTATTAATCATATTCTATGGATTATTAGTTTGGACTAATCAAGAAATCAACACTTTTTACATGGTTTGCTGCATATTTAACAGGAAATAAAGTATCAATATACACCAAAAAAGCATTATCAACTTAAATGGTAGATCAAGTCTCACACATACACTGTATTCAGGTGGACAATGCTAACTTACTAGTTCAATGAAAGCCATTGGGGAAGTTTTCCTCCAAATCGCTATGGCTTCTATTTACTTACATTGAAAAGTAAACGCCTCGAGGTCAGTAACTGTTTGTCACACACACATTTTGGGCATTTTATCTGAGGTTGGCGCTCTCCGTGATCTTGGTGTTTTTTTGTGAATCCAGATATAATCCCAAAAATGTATGACTAATCAGAAGCCTTCAGTCCATGTAAGGAAATTTGCACCAGCTAGCTAATGTTCAAACCGGCCTTGTCCGTTTCACCGCCATAGTGTTAATACGGTACACTCGGTCAGTCCAATCCTATTATACGGCCTATGGGATTGATAACAGTTCTATAAATACCTCTAAACGGGGAATTTAAAGACAGACTGGGCTTGACCACACACGTTTTGGGCTGTGGTTTGTTAAATGTCCTTTATCCTGGCTCATACTGCCCCCTGTCTATGTGGAGGAACACTGCACTCACCTCGTCACTGTCGAGTTTCTTTGCTTTCATCAGACGCTGGGCCTTCTCGTCATCAGAGCCTTCATCGCTGTCGGAGGAGTAGATTCTGGCACGCTCCTCTGTAAACAACAGAAATCATTTGAATCATTAGGCGCGGCATTATACACTTCAAAGACCAGAGAACACCTACAAATGACTTCAGCTCTGCCAATATACTGTGAAATTTCATAACACTTTGAAGCAAATTTTGTTAAAGTTAAACTCATCATTCTACAAATGTGCAGAAGCCTGAACTTTTCCACTTCATGTTTTGTCTATCTGAAGGCCAAGCTACAAGCACACTGTGGCAGCTGCTGATTGGAGGTCTCTGTTTCTCCTGAGTGTATTACCACTTGCTGTCTTTAACATCCCTTGTTCGTGGGTGTGTTCGTGCGTCTACCATCAACAATAAAACTTGTCTTCTGTCTGAATTAAAGACATGATCCCAGACTTTGTCATCTTCTTCAATACACTCGCCACATATGTCAAAGCTTTGAACCTTTAGCACTCCGCTAGTGAGAAAATAAGCAATCATCATTAAGACAACTTCAGCTCCACCAAATGTAAATCAATATACGTATGCCATACCACATATTGGATATCTTAAAGCTGGAGTACCGAACTTTCAAACCACAAAAACCTGAACTATGGAATCAAAGCGATCCATGGTAACTCTTCCCTAATTCTCAAAACTTTTTGGTTCTGTCACTACTTTTCACATACATGTGTTTTTGACCAGTCACATATTTACATCAGATTTTTCAGACGGGAAAATGAAAAAGAGGACCACCCTCACTCAGCCATTATTATCTAATAGGATGGAGGCTATGGTCTGATTACTTCACAACATTTTACTTTTGCAAGACTCTTTCTGTTGGAACAACGGGCAAAAAATGATATTCATGAGTAGAGCCAGGAAGTACAATCATTATTATTAATATTATTATTCCAGTTATCAGGTCTCTACACTGGCTTCCTGAGGCTCAGAGAATAGAAAGACAACTGTCCTTGTGTACAAGTCTATCTATGGCCTCGCACAAAAGTACATCTGAGATTTGAGGAGCACAGAGACTGGCCTCCAGCTGGTGCCCAGAGTCAGAACTAAATATGGGGAGGCTGTATTAGACTTGAAAAATCCAAATTGGTCAGTTCTTGAATATGAAAAGCAGTTTCTCAGGTTCAAGTTTATCATTGTCACATAAAAATCATTTGCAGAGAAATTCTTATGTACCCACCAGCCGATTGAAAAGCCAGCCTTCCCAACACCTTATTAAGAAGTAAACTCACTTGGAATGAGACAAGAATGTCTTTTTTCCCCATGAAAAATGAACTCTAAGACACATTTTGCTGCGGACAAACTGACTGTTGTGTGTGTGTGTGTGTGTGTGGCGTGTCCCTGTCTGAGCCTCACCTCTGAGCCCGCCTCCGCCCTTGTACTTGCTCTTGATGGCGGCCAGACTGATGGCCTCCTCCGCCTCCTCGTCGTCGTCATAGCGATCGGGCTCCAGGTAGCCGGTGCTCAGGCCGCGCTGGTGCTGCTTCTCCCGGACCCGCCGCTGCTGGGACTCTCTGCGGATTGACGCACGCAGACGCTCCTCCTCTTTCTGCGGCGAAAGAAACAGGTCAGATTTAAAGAAAACTGTGTTGGGTGGAAAAATACCCCCCAGAGCTTGAGCAAAGAGACATCTGAAACTTGCTGTTTTTGCTCAAGTTCTTTTGAATTATTTTGGTTAAATGCGTCACAGCAGCTCGTATGTCCGTGAGAGCAGATCCCTCCCTCGATGTGGGCCTGCTCGAGGTTTCTCACTTTTCTCCCACTCAGTTTTTAAATGTTTTCCTTGCCAATGCAGGAGGGTCGAGGGACAGTGGTGATGATCCAGGACATTCGACATTCAACAACATTTATGGACATTGGTCGTCCGCTCCTTATGAACCAACAGCTCTATATGTTGTTTTATCATTGCATTTCCTGTGTTTGAATTGGTTGGTTCTCTGATCAGTGTTAGCAAATTTGATTACTCCTGTTAACTAAATTGAATTGAGGATGGTATTAAGCTTCAAATATGAAATAAATGTATTTTCTATTGGTAAATGATACGGACAACAGAAAATACTTAAATGACACTTATTAGAAGTCTCCATCCTCCAGTTCTTAATCGCGTGCAGTTCCCTTTTAACATCTATGACTCATTGAAAAGAGAAGTCCTACGTCACCCATCGGCTTGAAAGGACACAGTTGTAATTAACATAATTTGACTGAATAAACGCTTTGAGGTTTGGACACAATACATTAATTCTAAAAAGACAGAAATTGCTTTTCCTCAGACGTCAGTGATGGCAAATACGTAAACTAAACAGACACAGGACTGGGTGTTGTGTATGGAGGGGCAGCTTCTGAGGGTTTGTGCCTGAAGTTCCTGGTTCTACTGCGTCTTTCAAGCTAAAAAAATATCAAGGCAGAAGCTAGTCAGATCTACAGTATCTTATTTTACAGTCAAAATGCACTAGACTTTTCTAATTCAAGCTATTGGCGTACTATATACATTTTTGCAGTTGTCCTAGAAGTCGATCATTCAGAATACCATATTACCATATTTTAAAAATAAATAAAAGCCTTTTATTTTTACAGTGTGCCTGACACTCCGGTGCACCGTATGTTTAGCTTTTCATTGCATTTTCATAACCGTCTACAAGTGCTAAATGTTACAACTGAGAACTGTTGAAAGTTATCTAAGTTCATAATAGCAATTTTCTACACACGATCCCGGAAACCGCTATAAACCCTGTTCCCGGAGTTCATTCAGAGAGAAGAGGTTTGGCGCCAACCTTGATCATCTCGTTTCGCTGAGACTCAGGATCTCGTCCGGCCATCGGGAGGATCCGGATTTTCTGGGTCTTGGAGCAGCGGTCGGCCAGAGACAGGGTCATCTTCCTGTGGGTGGCACTGTCCGTGGAGTGGGGCCTAGAGAACAGAGAGGGCACAGAGAGGGAAAACGTTAAAACATCCGAATAGAGCGAGAATACCTCCTTGTGCTTCAGAAGTAACCTATTCTGGTCTCATCAATTACTGCCATGTTGGTGAATCTTATGCCACAAACGCAAGTAAAAATGATGACGCAGGGAGAGTTTGCGTCCCCAGTTCTGCTCCCTGTGATCCGTCGAACTGGTGTCAATATAAGCGTCAACCCAATGCAGTGGCCAGGCTGATGCAAGGATGAAATGGGGAGGCAGCGACAAAGTTCAAGTGTGTTCACTCTTTTTACTGTTCTGTGATCATTTATGATTTTAATATTATTTCAATACCTTGTGAGATTGTTTCCATTGTGTTTTGTTCAGCACTTTGAGTTGTCTTGTATATAAACTGTGCTATACAAATAAACTTGCCTCTTGAATACCTGACCATAAGTTTTTAATTTGATGAAGTAACGTGAAGTGTTTCAAAGCATGCCTGTATCTAAAAGCAAGTCTTACAACCCAACTCCACACAGAAAGGCCCGTGTGAGCATGGGATTGTATGTTATTCACCCGCACAAACGCCAAGACTTCACAGGAACTAGTCAGACAGTCCAGCTCACAAGTTAAACATAAATGTGACGATGAGAAGCGAAACATTAATCAGTACGGAATTATTGTCTGAGCGAGAACCACATTTTGTCTACAGTCGCAGCAGTAACAACGTGCAGCAAAACCCATGGAACCAGCGCCGTATAAGCTGCGTAATCTCTTCAGTTCTCATTTGGCCATTTCTCCTGCCTCGGGTTCTTCACGTTTATCAGGGGACCTCTTATGTCACACTGCAGATAATTTTACAAAAAGATAAAACTCGCCTACAATAAAACCACGGGCCCAGAGCAAAGCGGTAATCCAATTTGCCGTCATTAAACTCTGTGGAATAGTCTGCGGTCGCATAGAAACTGGCTTATATCTGCAGAGGCCGAGTAGTAACGTTGGCTAAATCAGTTGTAATCAGAAAATATTAAATGAGTTTCATAATCGCTTATGTAACCCTGCAGATTTTCTTCGAATGAGAACTAAGAATGTGACTCTAGTTTTGCCAAATCAAAGCAGGAATGGATGAATGGTCATTAGTGATATTGAGGATTTATGAGCCTGACCAAAGAGGCATGCAAATATAATAAACCCTGATCTTTTTAAGCCACTCCCCGATTAATGCAATGACATTTAATGTTATAAATTAACTTTGCTCAAAGGTTGTAGGAAAAATTTAATGTCATCATTGTAGGTGAACAAAAATGTAACATTTGTAAATATACGGGGAAGAGGGAGCAGAGCCGAAAGGCAAAACTTGCAATTTACCGGCCAATCTACGTTCCCCCCTCACCTCTGGTCATGAGCTTGGGAAATATATTTGAAAATGCACCAACGTGTTTCGGCCGAGCATGGCTTTCCTCATGTTATGAAATGAATGACTAATTTATAGGAAAATCATGAGTGCCTTGGATTTCCTGTCTTTCTAAGAATCTCAGTTATCATGCTTTTGCTCAGAAAGAGATTTTTAGGTAACTAAAAAGCTTTATTCCAAACTGTATAGATATAATAGGGTCGTTAATTGATGAATTAAAACCCATTTATTATGGCAACGCAAGTGTTTGTATAGTACCATTTATACACTGTGTCAACTCAAAGTAAACAAGATAGTAATCACACAGGGCATTAAAATCATAAATAATCAGAGTACATTTAAAAGAGTGAACAAGTCACGACCGCCGGTCCCTGTGCTACTCAGAGACCCAGCAGGACACCAGTCCCTGTGCTCCTCAGAGTCCAAGATGGTTCATACAGAACATGTCACAGATGTACTTTGGTGCGAGGCCATGGAGAGACTTCAACACAAGCAGAGCTGCATGCCACAGAGAGCCAGTGCAGAGACCTGAGAATTGAACTTCCTGGTTCTAATCAGGACTTGAGCATAAACATACAGGCCTAGATTAAAAACAAACACTTACTGAGCAAGTATTTTAACAAATCAACTCCACTAATTGTTACGCTCAAGTCATACAGAGCGGCTGTACTTGTCCTACTCGGTCCATGTGGTCCCAAAACCAGAACATCCAGCAGCCGTCGCCGTAAGAGGCTTACTCCACACTAACAAGGACTTTCTCCTTGTTAATTTTTAAACAAGAAACTGTTGTTTTAGGGATTATACAAAGTGGAGATTACTTTGAGCTCCAGCCAAAGGGGATCCCAAGGATGTCCCGTCCACAGATATATACAAACATATCTTTGCACTAGAGTAAACAAGTTTATACCTCAAAAGTGCACACATTTTATGCTTTGTTGTCTTATTAAGATAAAGAGATTTTATTTTATACTATTTCTAAAGTATAGAGTTGTGCTATATCTAATATTCACTTGTCTTTTACTCCTTTACGTGTCCCACTGTGGGGCGAGTAAAGGATCTCTTCTTCTTGATGTGTGCGTTGCACCAGAGCAGAAGCTATTATTATAATAGGAGGCAATCAAACCAATCAGTTCAGTCTCATCGAGAGCAACTCAGGGCAATTTGTTAATGGCAAAGAACTGGATCGACTGCTGTTCTTCTACAGAGATTTGAATGACAGTGGACCAGATTGACAGTGGCTCATAACCAGATTTTTTTTTTACCTCCTCGCCATTTTAATTTCTCATTTCAACTTAGAGGTGAATAATTATTATGACAACTTTCGTAAAGGCCTGATTAGTTGGTGAATCGACCACTTTCTAAATTCCTCTGAGACAACTGCTAAATGGAATTGAATTTAGATTACATTATTGCCTCCCAAAAAGCAGGATATACCTGTGTTTAGAGCTCAAAAACAGGGATCACAGAAAAATGCCAAAAACAGGCTAATACGAGCTTAAACACACAGTATTTTGTCTTTTATCTGCTAATGGAAAATGCAAGTCCAGACCATATCTAAATTAGTTTAAAGCACTGTAGGAATTTGCTTTTCACTTCATTTCAACAGTGAAAACATTGTCACTTGTTATCAAGGTTTGAGTTTTCCCTAAAATTTGAATTCTCCCTGTGCACTTTGAACATTCATAAGAGACATTGAATCAAAATTGTGATGAGCTATTGCTTTAAACTGGTGCAGGCCTAATGTTTGTTGTCTGTCCTAGATTTATGAAAGTGAAGTGAGCTGCATAAGTAGGATGTACGATCACATTAGTCCAGTTCTCAGGTCTCTGCACCGGGCTTCCTGTGGCTCAGAGAATGGACTTTAAAGCAAATGTGCTTTTCAGTGACACTTTAGTGCCATATGACCCAACTTGGACTCTGAGGTGCACAGGTACTGGCCTCCTGCTGGTGCCCAGAGTCAGGACTTAACATGGAGAATCATAAACATCGGATTTATGCAGCAAACATTGAGTCTTACTGAAAATACGAGACGGGCTTCTACTCTGACAATGTTCAAATCCAAGTTGAAAACAGTTTAGCTACTGTATGCAAAAGGTTGAGATTAGGATTGTATCTTCAATGTGTAGTATGAGCCTTTATGATTGTCTTTCTTGTTTAGTAAAGCACTTGCCATGCATACAAATAAACTTCACCTGCCTCTTGTTCCGCATGTTTTCGGACAGTGGGAGGCTGTAAAAAGCCATTTACCTGAAAGTGAGTTTGGTCTTGAACACGGCCTGCCCCTGCAGCCCGGTGCCCTGTCGGATGAACAGATGGTTGTGGTCTCCCTGCAGCGGCGCTTTGTACACGTCAAACACCTCGTTTCCCAAGTGCAGCGACATACTGCGAGACATGGGAGGAATGTGTGAGATAAAGAAGATCCACTAACACAGGCCAAGACTTACAGAAGCATCAGACATCCTGATTTAAAGACGGGTGAATGACAAAGCAAAACATATACAGCATTGATCTGATAATGTGGAGCAAAAACAGTCTGAGGGAGACTGTTTTAGCATCACATTATGAGACGAGCTCTGCCACCCCCATGGGCAGAACATCAATGGAATGACAAAGTGCACCACAGTCTACACCAACTTCTGTTTAGAAAGCACTGTCCCAGAAGGTGCGGTGTTTTGCGAAGAACAAGCTCCTCCTTCCTACTGTTCTGTAACTTAATCTCTTCATCTTTATTCTAGAGATATCATACTTTATACTACTTTGTAATCGTTTCAAAAGAAAAAAATACAAATATTTCATTAAGTGGAAATAACAGGACATTTTCTTATAATGAAAACAAAAAGAAATGGTTCAATAAGTTCACAAAAGGATAGTTCCAAATGGTATTTTATTTGTAATCATTTGTTTAAAGGCATTCCACAAATAAACAATAGTTGGTGCTCATGTGCTAATTATCCATTTGGGCAGTTTTATAGGTTGTTACAAAATGCCTTGACGGATATAGATGAGAATAGGCTAAATTTAAAGAAAATAAAGAGAGGGGGACAAGGATAAATCTTCACTTGTGGAAGGTTTGTTTATAGCTCATATTTTGCATCTATTTAAAAACATTGACATTGTTCCTCCCGCTCCCTATGGACCAATGCCTACTATCTGTTTGTTATTATTGCATTTCCATATTCAAAATGTTCTCAGAGACGACTGCTGTTGTGATTAGAACAGTGGTGGGCAAACCCCGGCCCGTGGGCCAGATGCCGCCCTTTGGATGCTTCTATCAGGCCCCTGAGCCCTCCTCAATTTATATCGATAAAGATTAAGATCAAAAGAGATTAGGATTAAGAACATTTATTCATCCCACAGTGGGGTATTTCAGTTTAAACATCATACAATCCATCTCTGGGCTGTGTGCAGAGCAATTTTTAATATAAACAATACAATTATGAGAAAAACATTGGAATATCAGACGGCTGTCGGGATTCGGATCTAATTAACAATGTGGCCCTCAGGAGGAAAAGTTTGCCCATGTCTGGATTAGAATCAGATCAGAATACATTTAAATTAATCTGTGGTTATTTTTTGGATATACACTTTTTGAACACCTCATTACGTATTGAAAATTCTTTTTGGATGTTGGTTTTATGGGAACACTGATTTCAACTGGTCTAAAAGGAAAAGAAGACGGTACTTTCAACAGCTTTAGGTAATCATAACTAACTGTTGGTGGTTTACATGAAAAAGCTACCTTTACAATGAGCCATGGTAGCATATTGGCTGAATGGGAAGAGGTTTAGACCATTATTAAAACGTAAAACATCGGTCAATTTGGGAATTTAGTGGTTATTTTACCATTTTTTTTGCTGGATTTGGTTCAAATGCAACTGTTGGACATATTTCTCACCTGCCGTCTGACCACTTGACGATGCGAGCATTACTCTCTCTGGTCTCAAGGCCCTCTTCGTCCCTCTTCACTCTCCACCGGATTGTGTTTTCAACCTTCCGACGTAAAAGTATTTAAGTGTGTGAGAAAACAAATTATAAACCAGTGGCATTCAACTCTGTTCCCAAAGGGCTGGTGTGGCTGCAGGTCTTCTTTCCAACCAGGCAGGAGGACACCTGACTCTACACATTTCCTCGAGTGAGTCCAGTTTTAACTTGAGGAAATGGGGGGGAGCGGGCGGTCGGGTGTACTCCTGCTTAGTTGGAATGAAAACCTGCAGCCACACTGGCCCTTTGAGGACGGAGTTGAATACCCGTGTTATAAACCATCATCGATAGAAAATACACACTTTTAATTTGAGCCTGGTTCGGCCCTCTTCATCCAACATCTCTTCGTCTTCAAACTCGTCCTCATAATACTGAGGGTCAAACGGCCTGTGGGAGACGGAAGAATAATGAGGTCCTCTTTGGAAGTAAACAACATTTTAAAAATAGTTGATTCATTTTGTACTAAACATGCAAGATAATTGAATAATTTGTCCAACTACAAATGGCTGCTTTCAGAGTCGTCTGCGATGCCTGACCCAATACCTGAGGTGACATAAAACCTGAGGCGCCAGGTTGGCTTTGACAGACAATTTCAGATTCTACCTATAATATATACCTTTTTATTCTTTATTTTTTATTATCTCTTTCTGACTGTTGCACTGAGCCAAAGCAATTTCCAAGTCTGTGACTTCCTGTTACTTACGTGGCAATAAAAATTATTCTGATTCTGATAAAATAGAACCCACCTACATATGCCTCATTTAACTTTACACAGGGTTCCTCCCAGAAACCCCCACTGCATAATAAAATGCATATTGCAGTCATTTATTCTGTTATAGGACTTGGTAAATGATTCCTTATTGTGCCCAAAATGTAGGGAAATAGCTTTCCAAACGTTTTTCAATCACCTCGTGCCCTTCTTTAAAGGCTGATTATCGGAATTCATTTTTCTAAGAAGAAGAGACCAGACTGAGACACACTTCCTGCTTTAGAGATGAAATGCAGAAACTCATTCTGACTCAGAAGAGCCTTTTTAATATATTTGTCCTGGGAGTTTTAGGTTTTGATCAGCCACGGAGGCCAACAAAATAATGAAAACTGACCAAAAATATACCATTCGCCAGATAATGGGGAGGAGATTTGAGTATGATTACAAAGCATAAGAGTTGAGGCAAAAAGCCCTTTTCTGTGTGATTTTCAATCAAACTTTGTAACAGTACATTTAGAAAAATGCATACAGTAAACACACACAAGATGAAGTTTACTTGGTTATTTAATTTCAAGTCAATGAATTTCCACAGTTCTCCTAATAGTATAGCATGATTCTAGTTCTGTGTTTTTTTCTTTGGGAACCAAAACTAAAACAGTGAAACACATCTTCACAATGACCAAAATGAGTCGCCTATATTTCTATTATAAGCATGCTTTATTTCTCTGTTGTGGGACAATTATAGGGTTTCTTCATCTTAATCTCCTAATCTTTTTTTCCCTCAATGCTCTTAAATGCATCTGTCAGCCTTGTCTAAATAGGATCCGATTTACATTGTTACAACGCAGCTCATCTGCAGGAGAAACAATTTGATCTAGTTATCAAAAATGGACTGGATTTTCACTCCTTAACCCGTGGCTTTACACGGATCTCGTTCAATCAAATTCCATCGCATTGGAAACACATTTGACTTGACTGGCTCACCTCGGCTCCACTGATAAGAAGTTGGGCAGTTTGACAAAGTACAGATCTGATCCCAGGTCAGTGCTGACTTTGGGGATTTCCACCTCGATTCGGGTCTCGGGCACAGGCTCCTCCTCCGCGTGCTCTCCCTCCATTCCCTCCTCCCCGTCCTGAACACCCACAATAAACAAACAAAAAATATAAACATACCCCTTTATGAACACAGTAATGTGACATGTTAGTGCCGTATGAACCAACACGGACTGAGGAGCACAGGGACTGGCCTCCTGCTGGTGCCCAGAGTCAGGACTAAACACGGGGAAGGTAACATTTCAGATTTATGCAGCCAAAATCTGCCTGAAAATGTGAGACCGGCTTCTATTTTGACAATGTTCAAATCCAGGTTAAAAACAGTTCTGTTTTAAATGTCAAATTAAGCATGGACAGAATCACTCAGATTTGTGAAAAAGACAGAAGTGTGCAAATATACTAAAGGCAAAAATAGTATTTTCAGGATATAATATGTACATTAAAAAAAACAGGTTTTATTGTATCTTTATTGTAATGTACTGCTATTGTACCTTGTGGGATTGATTGAACTTTTAAGTTGTCTTGTGTATGAACTGTGCTATACACATAAACTTTCCTTGCCCAATTACACATTCATTATTTGTTATTATTATTCTGTTTTCCTGAGAAAGGAAGATTTGGACTCTACCATGGGCTGTCCTGGCGTGGGGGGCTTGTCTGCATCACTGTCTGAAGAGATGTCATCAGCCTCTCCAAAGAGGTCGTCTGCAGCCGCTTTTTTGGCTGTGAAAGAAAAGTGAAGGTGAAGTTAAGAGTATAAATAGTAAGTAAACAATATTTATTTATGTAGCGCATGTCACGGACCAAGGTCACACAAAGCACTTTGTAATTTTGATGTAGGGCCAATTTCACTCCACAGCCTCCTTCACGCACACATGATCTATTGTACATGTTTTAGTAATAGGGACAACCGGAGCACCAGGAGGAAACCTACAGGGAGAACACGCAAACTTCACAGAAAGGCCTTTGAGGCGGACCTTCTTGCTGTGGGGCAAAAGTAAATGTCTGAGTAGCTGACGTAAGCTCTGAAACAAATTTGAGTGTCCAAAAAAGCGCTGTATAAGTTTAACGTATTATTATTTATTAAAAACTCAAATCTGCGCAATCGCAAGAGGAAGCAGAAATGTAGATGAGTGTGATGACGTAAGAGCAAAACAACAATGTGAGATGGCGTGAACAAGTTTTCCTCACGTTTCTTTGAGCCGATGTCGCTGTCTGAATCGGAGTCTGAAGCCGCTTTTGGTTTGGATTTCTGCCGGAGGAAATCATCTTCACTGTCGCTGCCTTTCGCTGACTCTGGAAAAATCACAAAGTAAATTAGACAAAACCGCAGGATGTAAACTTTCAGAAATCAAATGTATGTAGAAACGTTCAAACGTATTTCATGTTTTAAATGATGAATAATTGGCCCACCTGTCCCTGTACTGTAAAGCAAAGCAGGGCAGGCATAAGAACTGATCTGTCACTCCTCTCTCGGCCACACACACCGTTGGCATCTCACAACATTTCAATTCTAATCAAAAACTTCTGATTGACGACTAAGGACAAAATGCTGCTCCCTATTTTGCAAAGGGACGAATTTTTCACTTTACACAAATTGCCATTGAAGATCTGGGCATTTAAAATGAGAATGAGACTTTACTTTGTCCTCTCATGTTTTAGAATCTGAAATAATATCTACTTATCTACTTCTATAAGTAGAAAATAAATCCTTCTAAAGTTTACTGTCCGTCTTGTTCCTGCCTGTGCACAGAACCATCTCCTAAGTTAAGAAAGATTTATTGTCCCTGCATTTGACCCATCCTTCGCTGCTGATAGGAGCCATAGGAGGCCCTGGCAGAGGCCCTGGCAGAGGCCCTGGCAGAGGCCGTATGTGATTGTTAGTATTGCATTTCCTGTGTTTGAACCGTTTGATACTCTGCTCTGTTGTTGGTGAGGTCCATTAAGACGACTGCTGTCGAGATTTGGAGCTATGCAAAAATAAATGTTTTTAGTGGTTTCTTGTTGCGAAGGAGGAGCACTTACCACTCAGCCGTCGTTCTTAGGTTTTATCCAATTTCATTGAGAAAAATATAAATGCAAAAATGGATCACTATAAACAAAATAAATGATTATGTATTTCTTCCTATGTCACCTAACCTGACTGTGGGTCAAACCAAACGCAATCAGCTTTCCGTATTGCAAAGTAAGTAAGTACTTTTATTTATATAGCTCATTTTTACAGACCACGTTCACCCAAAGCGCTTTACAATGTTCAGAGTTTAGATGTTAAAGTGCTGCATTGAGTGGCGTCTGCCAATGACAAAGCGACAGCAGAATAGAATGTAATTCAGAGTTTACCGGGCTTCCGGTTCCTGGGGCGATCGTCGTCTGAATTTTCCGGTTCTTCGTCAGAGTATCTGCGCTTCCCCTCATCTTCTGATTGGTCGCTCTTCATACCACGCCCCCATTTCTCATCATCTGAGTGGTTCTCGTGGCCAGAGCCCTCTGCGTCAGAGAGGGCAGGGGTCCCGGGGCCGGACTGAGGGGTGCCTGCATCACTGTGGGCACTGGGTCAAACACAGGAGGTACATATGAATGAACGCAGCCTCAGTTTGTGATCAAACAGCGCCGTCTAGAGGCAACAATGAACAACACAAGAAGTTCACTGGATTTATTTAGAAAAACATTTATACATTTTTTTTTTTTACTTTCCTGACACCGAAACAATTCTGACAAAGAAAGACACTCAAGGACACAGGCTCATCAGGCCAATAGTTTCTAACAAGCAGAGACTGAGACCGGTGAGACAGAAACTGGGGGTCACAAGATGCTTCTATTTGCATTTGTCAAATATTTGATCGATAAATACTATGTTTTAAGAGAAATAAAGTCAGAGCATAAAACAAGCAGCATTACAGTTGTTTCAGCATGTTTCTCTATGGAAATAGTGCATCTGTATAAAAGTATAAATGTTTTAACTTGTATGTAACACAAACCTTCCCGGGGGAGTTTAAAGTTATAATCTGGGATATTTACATTAGTAAAATGTCACTTAATACGCAGTCCTTTTTCAAATGAATAAATTGCTGAATTGAATTTGAACATTTAATACTATATTAATAATAATTCTAAGCTGAACATGAATATTCACATGACTAAAGTACAAAGTGCTGCTATCTTCAGTGTATACTCCACAAGTGCAATGATAGTTTTATTTTATTCTATTATTATTATTTATCCTAAATAACAGATGTGTGCAATCTGAGTGCTCTTATTTCCTACTTTTATCATGCTGTAATGTGCCAAACGATGACATTGAAATTTCCCCACTGAGGGACAAAGGCTCATCTTTTCTTGATATTAAAATGTTGAAAAACAATATGTAACACACAACGGATCTGCCCGGTTCTGCAAAAACAACACCTACATGCAACATGGATGAACACTGCTCTTTTCAGAATGAGATTTCAGAGAAAACAAAAAGTATAAAAGGTTCCCACCTTCTGTCTGACCTGGGACTGCCCCTGTCGGACCGCAGACTCCCTCTGGACGCTCTGGACCCCATCGTTCCTCGAGATCCTCTGGACCCCACGGACCCTCTGGACGCTGCACTACCGGCCGGACTCGCCCCAGGAGTCCCCCCAGGACTACCCACGTCAGACCGGTGCCCTTCCTCATCTTCATCCTCGTCATGGTGGCTTCTTTCAGAGCCCCTGTCAGACCCCCTCTCGGACCCTCTGTCGGACCCTCTGTCGGACCCTCTGTCGGACCCCCTCTCTGAGCCCCTCCCAGAGCCCCTCTCTGAGCCGCTGTGCTGCTCTGCGTCAGAGTGCTCGCCCTGGTCAGAGTGAACGCTGGCGTCTGATTGGTTGCCCGATCGCTCGGACCGGTCGCTGCCGCTGCGGTGACTGTGGCGCTCGTCTTCACTGTCGTCTCCAAACAACTCCTGGGAAAAAACAACATTCCAAAAATGACCACCGTGCTCATCAAAGATTTAAGTCTATAAAAGCTGGACAAACAAAAGGTGTTATGACGCGCAATTGCACAGTGAAACCAGATTATTGACAATGTCTTAAAATCACTGTTTGAGAGAAAAACAGGGATAAAAATGTGTTTAATATGTTACCAATAATGCATCAGTTTGATATAGCATTTTTTGGACACTAAAAACAGCTTTATGGCATTATTCACTAACTCCATACGGTGGTGATAAAGTACAACTGTAGCCACACACAATCATTCTCGGCAATGTGGGTGAAGTGTCTTGCCTAAAGGAACAACCAGTTTGGCACTCTGAAGCTAAGTACTGCCATGCCTAGCCTCAGAGGTCTGACAAGTGTGCTTTGTTTCTGCCTGAGTGCTAGTACAGTAATTTCTTAAAATAGAAAATAGAAAAATAAGATAAATCTTTGACCTTGTTCATACTAGCCTTCCCCTGTCCTTCCTCATCATCCTCGTCCCGCTCTCGGTCACTGCCGCTGCCTGAGGCTGCACTGGCCGAACGCGGCCTCTCCGGCTCGGAGTCCGACCCGGAACCAGAATCTAAAACAAGCAATAAGCGGACATTGATATTTACAGAAATATTCACACAATGTATAACAACAAAACAATGTATTACAGCAAAACAATGTATTTCAACAAAACAATGTATACAACAAAGCAGTTCTTTTCAGAAATGTGACTTAAAAACAAATAAATAAATAAGTAGAAAGTTGTATTTGTGATTCCAAATGCAGGGTTTTTGTCTGCACAGCTCTAGTACAAGTGCATAAATTTAAGGAGATGAGTTTGTGAAAGGGTCTTTATTCCAGCTCAACATTCTGTGTTTGATATATATCTACTCAGTATTTTTGTTGTGCGAGCACTGGTTCTGAGCCAAGTCGGCTCGTTTTTTTCCACCAGAACAAGTGCCTGTTACCACAATACCACATCTTACTTGCTTGTTTACTTGCAGCCGTTTGCATTTGGTGGATTACAATTTCAATGTTACATCTTTTAGCACTTATACAATTGTAAAACACCTGTAAATTACTTTATACTAATAGTAATTCCACTGATATGAATAGGAGCCGTCAAAATTCTGTTATGTGAGTTCTATTAGATTGAGAATTCTGGGAGTCCTAGTGCGAAGACTACACCAACAAAGTGTTTTTCTTCCAAATAACAATAAGAACATCAATGTAATAACTAAACATGAACAGAGTTTCCAGAAACAGCGTGAGACTTGGTTCGCAGAGAGAGCAGCGTGTGGGAGGCGCTTTGACACAACAGTCACTACTAAACCGCACGCATTCTACTTTAGCTTGTTCATAAATGCAGGCTTTACCAGATCGGGCTCTCTGTGGCTCATTGTCGCTGTCTCCGTCGCTGCCGAACAGTTCATCCATGTCCGCCATTTTTTTCAGAACCAGATAAAACAACCCGGAAAAGAAGGGGAAGTTCTTAAAGGTTTTGTTTCCGGTGTGTTGGGGTTGTTTTTGTAGTTACTCAAATCCGCCACTAGAGAATGCCAAATCCCCAGACAGGACTCAGGTCCTTATGGCCAGGGTATCTAACTTGTGTTGTTTTATACTACAGAGACTTGCAAAATGCTGTAAACATATATCAAGCCAAAACAGCAGTTTTGCCAGCAGGCATACTAAGGTCAAAAGCTATGGGTAAGGACCATGGATCTGTAATGTTCAGAACAATTCAGCAAAATCCTGTTTTTCATCTCACCAGTAGTATCAGATTATATTTACAACTCAGATAAATATTTTGGAATTGGAAAAGTTGAGTGATGCATCTTTAAACTTTTTGTATTTAATTTTGATGGAAGTTATTATTTTATTATTGTAATGTATTTGTTTTGGTATCTATGTATTTGTATTATTTTCAATTTGGTGATTATTTTTTTTATTTTTTTTATTTGGGGCGGGATCTCCTCACCATTGGCCAATCCCCCTGTCACTCACAGACTCCGCAGGCCGTGTCTTCCGGTGTCCCCGCCCTTGGACAGTAGTGAGACAGAGCGCTGCTGGAGAGTATCGCTGTTGATTCTCTGGGAATATCTGGACTTTCTCCCGTCACTTTCCACTGTTCTCGGGTAAGCCTTTAACCATAAGAATTAAACACAGAAACCAGCTCATTATAACGCTATAATGTCATCTATCTGTCTCACTGTTAGCTACAATTCATACAACTTAAGCGCAGGGGTTAGCATGCTAGAGGCTAACTACAAGCTACACCTTTTTGCTGTTTGCTTGGTTTCACTCATCCCTCGCTGTCTACAATTTAGCAGCTAGATTTGAATCACGTATGTCTTCCAAAATGTCATTTGCACACTTTAAATCTGTCTTATAATATCTGCTGAAGAGGATATGTTTACGTGTATCATAATGTCATAACTCACTCTGCTTATCATGCCGCAGTAGCTGTATTGATGAATGAATGTAAGGGCTTCACTAAAATATCAATGAACAGTTCTGAAGTAACACATTATTTCAGAAAACCAATTTGTTTCCTTTATTATTCAGGGTGTATTTGAATATGGCTGGGAAATAGCAAATGTGTGACAATGTATGATTACAAGTACAACAAACTCGTTAAGCAAGGTTATACCCCTGCTTTAACCACTTACCCTGTATTAAATGTCATTTCCCTATCAGTCTGTTGTGAGTAATATAAGTTGCATTTCGGCAGAGTGACTCAATAGTTCACATGAAGCTGGAAGAGGCGATGTCTTGAGTAATATAGATTAAGTAAGAGTTGTAGGCGTCTTTATCTGTCGTCAGGGTTTGTGAACGAAAGAGTTTCACCAGCAGTAGAGCTTTAATAGAGAAAGAAGGGTGTGGCCGTCGTAAAGAGAGGACTAGGAGTTTAAACAGTGGTTAAACTTTTGCTTTCAGAGCCTTGGGGCAGGCTGTGAAGCAGGTATTGTTACTGTGGAATTTCATGTTCTCTTCCTGCTGACAGACATGTCGCTTTGGCTGACAACACCACCATTTACATGTGCTTGGATAGTTAATAGTAAATTGTATTGCTTACAGATGTGATTGTTGAACAGCTGACATGTTTACACGGACCATGTCTAAGTTTAAATGAGTGACTTTTATATAGCAACGTCTGAGCAAAACTAAACTACTGATTTTCTATTGACTATATATTGTAATATTCAGTTAAAGAGTGTATTTTGATTGCTGGAAATATCATGAAGGTTTATACATTAGATCGTTCAAAGAGGGGTGGTTTTGGTGTCAATAATGATATACCTTGTCTTGCAATTGAATGTCTTGCATGTGTTTCAACATATGCTCAAATAAATAATGAATAAAACTGGCACAAACTTACTGGTGGTGATGGTGTGATTGAGATGAACTGGTTTCAGTCCCTGTTGTTTTTTTCTAAGGTGGTGAGAATTTGTTTACATCTGACAGAGGATCCTTTGTCTCTTGCTGAGTTGAATGGATGGGCGTTCCTTAAATCTCCTGTCATTGTGTAATAATGCAGACCAGTGAGTTTCCGGGGAGAGCGGTCAGTTATGTACTGTACATCATGACGTTTTGTTTTGGAAACACCCATTTCCTGCTGCAGGCTCCACATGAGGCAGAGAATGTTGGAGAACAACTAAAACTGGGGTAAATCTTGGTATTGTGTGAATAATTGTTGTATTTCCTCCTTTTATTGACCTCTCGGCTTTCAAATAGACTTGTGTATCAATATTACATTAATAAATATTTTAAGTCAGTGTGGTAAATGTCAGGCCTTTTAGGAAAACATTTGTTAAACATCACAAAATCTGAATGAATCCTCCGGCTGTAGGTCGACGATAACTTTGATTGAAATACAGCACAATATTGGGAAATATTACTTTAATGAGACTATACTTTTGCATGCTTTCCTATTGGCACAGATCATACACAAAAAAAAGTTAAGGCAGATGTTTCCTTATTGTAATAATAACAGAAAAAACAATACATCATACTCACATAGCGCTTCTTTCGACACTCAAAGATGCTTAAGACATTTCCTTATACACAAGGGATTTATGCCTCTTTGCACAAACCTTCTGTCATTATTGATATACACTTTGGTTATTGTTTTTGTGCTGATAAAAATAAGTTGATTGGATAGCACAATAAAATGTGTATATGTGTAAATATGTACCCTTTTCAAATTCAAGTTATATCTTGTCTGTTTTCACCTTTTTGACCCTTTCTGAGCTGTGATCTTGATAACACTGATGGTAAACAGCAGCTTCCAGACTCAGCTCAGTCATAAAACAACTTTACTTTCTAACTAAAACTATTTTCTCTCTTGGCAAAAATTGGGAATCTCCTAAAACCTGGAGGATAAGTTACTATTCTTCTTTGACTCTTCACTGGAAACGTAGATAGCACCATTAATCTGTTGGATAAAAGGTCCAGTCGTCAAAATGAGTATCCACAAAATTGATACACCTGTTAGACTCTACAAAAGTGATTATTGTAGATAAATTAATCTGTAAAAAGGCATGATCTTTTTGGTCAACATTAAGATTCCTCCCATCAGTTTGGAAATTTCAGTGTTGCATCACAAGTTACAGAACAGCAGGAACGAGGAGCTCATATGAAAACTTTCAAACCCTTAGAAAACACACAAAGTAGTGGTTTTGATGTTGTTGCTGTAAATTTTTTTAATACAAAATGGTCACATTTAGCGCTTTTCTACCTGTCACTCACACACACATTCATATATTGTACGCAGACACTCGGGGTGAGACGAGTGAAGTGTCTTTCTTAAGGACTCACAACAGGAGCTGGTTTCAAACATGCCGACCTGCGGGTCAGTTGACCTGACCGCACAAGAATGATGTATAAAAAATACACGCGTCAAAAAAGTGTTTGGTGACAACACAAGTATAGGCAGCCTACATCATAAACAAATCAACTGCAAGACGGATCTGCATCAGGAAAACTGTTGTTGAATCTGTACTTTCTGTCAGTTCAACAATAAACAATACATCTGTAGAAAATTGCAAAGTTAGTGCCTTATGAAACAACTCTGATTCTGAGGAGCAAAGGTACTGTCCTCCTGCTGGGACTCTGAGGAGCAAAGATACTGGCCTCCTCCGGGAGCTATTATTATTTTGTATTTCTCTAGTATTTGTTTCTACACTTGTGTTTTACACTGTGGCTCTGATCCAGCAGTGGTTTCAAAAGCAGAGGAGGCGGAAGTGTGGATCCCTGAGGAGTGTTACTGCTGCTGCGGCTTATTATAGTCTTCCTCTCATGATATTGAATCTCGATAGGGTATTGCTCGCTAAAACCTGTCTCCAGCTTGGACAAGGGTCCCTGCTGCTGTTTTATTCTGAAATCTTTTAGTTTTATGAATTACCAGGGATAACACAAGGCCGTATGGGTATTCGATATCATACTCAATTTAAGGTACTCATATCTGGTATCGGTGCATCCCTAACTGCCTCCTACTGCATAAGACCAGGAGAACCAGAGCTGGCCAGAATAGAACGTGGCACTTCTACTAAAGTTTAGGACATCCATGATACGAGCATGAGCCAGTGGGTCCTGGCTCAATACCACCCCAGGCTGATGGGGGTGGACCCGGAATACAAATTATTCACCTAGTGTAAAGCATCTTCTACAAATCTGAAAGGCTGCCTCTCCATGTTTAGTCCTGACTCTGAGCACCAGCAGTAGGGTGGTTCCTGTGCTCCTCTGAGTCTGAGTTGGCTCATATAACACTAACATATCACAGATGTACCTTGGTGCGAGGCCATTGAGAGACTTTATGTGCTCTTTGTTGGTTTTTGCTTCCGTCCTGTGTCCTCCTGAGTACAGCTCGGTGCTGGTCTGCTCAGGTGAGAGAAGTAGCTGGCCTATGTCCATCTGTTGTTGTCTTGAAGGATTATCCCCAGAGACGAGGAGAAAGGAATCTGATTTTCACTAATGCATCCTCTCAATCCCCTGTTCACTATCACTGTCTACACGCAACATTACAACTGTCCTACTGCTCAAACCCTCAGCACTGAATGAAAGAATAAATATACGCGTTGTGTTGTGGCACACAATATGGAATCATTGATAAAAAGGCAGTGGGCTTGAATCAAATACTTTATATCTAGATTTATGTACACTTGACAGTCTTAAAACAAGATATGGCAATGGTACAAGCGAAAAATGTCTTATTTCAGGGCAGTAGCATGTTTCTCCTCTCATTCTGATGAAGTTGTTGGATTTTAAACATTTTAAATCAAGATATTAATTCATTTTAATGATTATTAGCTTAATCTAGATTTAGTTCAGGATATATTGACAAACCTACAAATACTCCAAAATAATGCTCACAATATATGAAACTGATTGGACTGTGTTTTAGGCTAAATGTCAATGTATGTATGCATTTCAAATCATTTTTCATCTTCTAGTTAAAAACGTCATATTTTCTATTTGTTTTTTTGCTGCAAATAACACTGGAGTTGTTTTGTGATATATTTCCATACAGAGCAGCTTTAGCGCGTGGCGTGTGTGTTTTTCCATATGATTTGGATGCAGGGGATGCTCATAAGCTGTCAGCTGTAAGCCTCTTTGCTCCCAGGACTGGTCATCTGCTCTGAAGTGGTTGAAGTGGTGGCAGATGCTACAATATTGTTTTTGCTGAGGAACATATTTTGCACAATACTAGACCTACCAAAGTGTACGTATAGGATTTTTGAGGTTTTCAACATCATCTTTGAAATTTGGTTCAATGTATTTTTGTACGGCCCGAAATCATATAACATTTGCCGTCTCAAAGGATTTTACAAAGCTGTCGATTCGCCAACAACGGATCAAAGAATCAAACGGTTCGAACACAGGAAATGCAATAATAGAAACCGCACAGGAGGCTTGAGCCGTTAGTCCATAGGGTGTGGGAGGATCAACGTCCATAAATATATAGAATAATCTGGATCATTGCTGTCCTTATATCGTCAAGGAACGACTGAAAGAAACCACAGTGGAATAAAAGTGTGAAACTAAATAGATCTAGGACGCAGACGGTAAAACATGGACTGAGCCTTTAGAATGAGAACTCAAGGCAGGGAGGGTGGTGCAGTCCACAGTCACAGATGAAACGGGCCGATTCATTTGGTCACATTGAAGCATCCTTGAGCCCTGGATTCAGTGCTCATTCCCTTTAGCTCCTTGCTTCTCAGTTTTCCTACTTTAGTGCATGGACGTCGGCTCTGCACATACCTCTGAAATTCCATCTACCAATTTTCTCTGCTCTAAGTACACCTTTCATGTTTAAACAGTTTTAGTTTGGGAACAGTCTGTGGAAGATGGAACAGATGAGACCTTGTTCTTCTGTCTGTGGATCAGAGACTCTTTGATATGAAGCGTTTCTTTGAACTTCAGTACAGTCCATTTTTATTGTAAAAGTGTTTTCAACTGAATTTGTGTATTAATCTAGTTAATCCTACAAAGACTATTCTATTGTGTCTTTGGTCATTTATAATCACAGTGAAATTATACAATGGCTTTTACTGCTCCTGCTTATGAAACCACTATAATTACAAATGTAGAAATTGTAATTAACGATTACTTTGGTAATCCATTAGTTGGAAAATTATGTTTTCAATTAACTGCTAAGATGGTTTAATAGACTTTTTAAAATACATTCTACTCTCCACTCTACTCTCTTCTTAGAGATTCTGTAAGATAATTGGTAGTTGATAAGAAATGCTTTTAAAAATAATCTTGTGCCATTAATTATAGCTCTCTGCCCAACAAACATAGATTTAACTTGTTACAGCCATTGATTTAGCAGCTGATAGCCATTTAGCGCATATTGTCACTAGAGAGTCTTACTAATTACATGTGTTATTTTCAGACAGACTGTATATGGACATTGCTAACCCCCTAGCTCATGTGCACATGCACAAAGTTTCGCTCAAACTTGCTCTGCTGTCAGAACACAGGCCCAATTGAAGATTTTTTAATTTATTTTTTTAAAGCTAGCTAACTCCTAATATATGGCCTATGTTTACACACAGCTTTCTTCATTGTTGTGGTTTTAATAAGAATGCAATGGTGTGGTGGTTTTCCATTAGCCTCCAAAGAGTCAGTATTAGTCATTGTTTCCAGAGCAGCTGTGATCTGCCATTGTCAGAGTCGGAGAGAACCGACTCATTATCATTGGTGACACCCTGGGCCTGTCTGAAAATGTCAAAATGGTTTCCCGGGATTGTCAATTGTGTCAGAGGCATGATGTTATGGACCTCAATATATCTTTGAAGCAATGTACCATCATTATAACCTGTTATTTTGTTTTTCTGCAGGTCAGAGGAGCGTGTGGTGCGGCAGAAGTTTAGTCCCGTAAAGTAAAACCATCTGCATCATGGCTTTAGAGTACAGGAAAGAGCTGGACAAGTACAAGGACCTGGACGAAGATGAGATTCTGGGGAAGCTGTCGGCGGAGGAACTGAAGCAGCTGGAGTCTGCGCTGGAGGAGATGGACCCAGAGGTTATTCTCATGGGGATTTATTATGGCTGTGGGAAAATGTGAAACTGGACTGCAACATTATAGGGCCCTCCAATATCCCAAGCGACTGTCATAGAGAAACAATATTAGTTATGCTAACAAAGCATAGTTAACTGAAAACAGCGGAGGGGGGTGCCAAAAGGCCACTACCCACAATGGCATGCCAGTACAAACTAGGAAGCCCACGAAAATGTTTTAGCCAATGTTGAGTAGAGAAACCAAAATTTGTTTGCAGTTCTTACTTAACATAATTAGGTACTCGCAGAATAATATCACATAATGAGAAGTTGAGTCGAGTTGCGTGAACACGTTTTTGTCAATTATACTTTTGAATCATATCCTATAATCCTAAATATCCAGGATTTTCTTTGTCTTTTTTTTCTGCTCATCTGCAGCATTTGTGGATATTGTTTTGTTTGAACTTTGTATTATTTTATTGATAATGGGTTTTGCTTTGCTCGGAAAACCAAAAGTGGACTTAGGGCTGGGCGATTAATCGATTTTAATCATTAATTCGAGTTTTACGTTTAGGGCGATTTCTTTTTTTAAAAATTCGATTTTTATTTTCTCCAGCGCAGAACTACAGCGCTAACGCGCTAACCGCGGGTCTATGGTGTTGAGCAGTCATTTTGAAGCTAACCTAATGCTAACAGTCTCCCTCTGGCCTGATGCTCGCTCTCACAGTTGGTGCTGTTGCAATAGCACTTTAAACGTTCAAGAATCAGACTTTATTTAATCGCCAAAACACACACACACACGCACGCAAGCCCCGGTCGCCATGTTTGTACGCCATGTTCGTACGCCACATCTTTCACGCTCTCTCACGCTCGTTATTCCAAAGCGCACTCCCGTGTCCGTGGCGCGCACACACTCGTGTCCCACTGAGCCGCTGCACTTTGGGGAAAGACACGTCTCACACATTGCTCTCATTGCTCTGATACAAACAACGTGTTCCCCGCTGTCTGTTAGCTACAGTAGCTGCTACAGTAGCTGTTAGCTACAGTAGCTGCTACAGTAGCTGTTAGCTACAGCATCAGAATGTTAAGCTCACCGCACACCGAAACGCAGCGCCTCGCGGCGCGTCATTTGACGCGCGTTCATGACATGTGTCAAATTACACCGGAACGCCTTGGCTAGCGTCCTTTTCCAGCTGATCGCAGATGAAATGGGTGAGTGACGTTTGGAAGTTTCTACTAATATTTTGGGGGAGGAAACAAAGTATTTACGTGAAATTATGCTGGCAAATATTACAAGAAAAGACTATTTGGACCCATTTTTTAAACAGGCTAATAACTAGCTCTGGGTAACGCTGTACTTGGGTTATCAAGCTTTCCTCGTCCATTGTGACCGGTTTACTTGAGCAATAGCGCCGACAAGTGTGTAAATTTGAGACCGCGCTCACAGCTACGTGATAAGAAGCGCAGAAGAAGAAAACTACGGGTGCTTGGAGGGACAGTTTCAGCCGCGGCGCCGCGTCTGGATTCAACAAAACTGAATCGTGGCGCCCGGTCCAGCGTCGCCGCGCGTCACTGCAACCTTGGTGTGCGTTCTCTCATAGAAAATAAAGGAGCGGCTCTTTAGCCGCGCGTCAAGGGGCGTATTCGGTGTGTCGATGGGCTTAAACAGGAAGCTCGCACAATGCGGGAGTCACTGAAGTTAGTATTAGCGCCACCAGCTGGACCGAGCGTTGTACTACAGCACAGTTACTCAGGCACAGTTGAAAGAACAAGCATGAAAACCCGAGGAGGCTTTTGGAAAAGACTGTCTGTTACAACATTTCTATTTTGAGTAATCAGTTTTAAAAATGTGATATTTCATGTAAATATTGCATGTGTTTAATAGGATTTGATATATTTGCGATGGGCCTTGTTTGTGTGATTTAAGTTATTTTGAAGGTGCATAGTGTCATTGTAAGTGAAGTTATTATAAAACTGTTAAGCTACATTTTCACTGTTTACAATGGCAGAGCCATCTCGTTTACAAGCATGTTTTAAGGCTTAATTCCTGTTACACTTATGCTCCATGGGGATTTAGATTAAACTGCATAAAGGAAAATCTATTTCTTTGTCAGTTGTAGTTTGTTTTTAATAGAAAAAATAAATCGATTAAAATCGAAAATCGATTTGGTGTGAAAAATCGGAGATTTTTTTTTTTGCCATATCGCCCAGCCCTAAGTGGACTAAAGGTTATGCAGACTGATTTACAGTATCATTTTTTTTTTGAGAAAAATTATTAGTTATTGGCCGCTGGCAGCCCTAAATTCTTCCTTGTGCCCTCTCTCTGCTGTTCACATAAAATCACCAGAAAGTGGGAATATGTGCTTCGTCATCAGCTCTGGGGCTCCGTTCCTCACTCTAATAAACATACAAACATTTCCATACAGGCAGCAGAGTTCAACAAACCTTGAGAAAATTAGCAATTTATAATGTTTCCAGCTGTGCCTTCTCAACCTCATACTGTCCACTTAACCGTCATGGTCTTTCGCTTATTTAAAATGTTATGATTCTTTGGCCTGGCCCTCCACATCATAATATCCCTATAAAAGCCCACTCCCGGACAAGAAAATTCTGTATAGTTCCACTTACAAGAACTATCCAAATCATTACCATCATCAACAGCTCTCGTGATCCTGGTGTTGCAATGTTTGGTCAGCTGCACTCCTGTTGTTTATTTGGGAGGACAGCAGTGGAGTGATCTCGCCCGTCCCAAGGCGTTTTATTTAGATTCCAACAAAACTATTTCAAACAAATTCTCTCAACATCATACAGGCCTGTAACAGAAACAGAGGGACTCGGCCAAGAGCATGGGAACTACCCTTAAACTGTGGGTTAGTCCTGGGTTAGTCCTGCGTTAGTCCTGTGCTAGTCGATTCCAATTGGCAATTAAAGCCATTAATGCTTCACTGTAGATCAGGGTCTCCAACCTTTTTCAATTGGAGAGCTACTTTTGTACAACAGAAGAGGCAGAGAGCTACTCCTGTTTCTGTCATAATTAAAATATATGTAATAATTATGACAAAACATAGAAAACAGATGTAAAAAATACCTTAATACTGTAACTCTATAGTTATACTTATAATAGATGCGTAAAGACTCAAGTTATTCATTCAAGATCATGTGTTAATTTTTAAATCATTTTGGGAGCTACCTAAAAGGGGCTGGCGAGCTACTGGTAACTCCCGAGCTACAGGTTGGAGTGTTCAGATTTAATTATATTTAATCTCAAAAAGGTTTAAAGTAGTATATTATTAAGTATTGCATTTTGGTAGTATTTTTTTGCTAATATCATTTTTGGCCTCATTGGCACAAAAACCTCCACACAAACAAAACTTCAGTGATGTTCCTGGAGAACATCGCCATAGAATTTTAATGTATATAGTCTATATGAGATTCAATAAATGATTATTTGATTACTTATTGACAACTTTATCAATAACTGATTAGTTCTTTTGGCTCCCTTCGCATAGGAACTTACAGGCCAGTTATTATAAGTTATTCATGCAGGATTAGTTGCAACTAATTAAAAAAGTAGAATCCAAAGTATAACTACTATTGCTCTCGTTCCAGAACGCCCTGCTCCCGGCTGGGATGCGTCAAAAGGACCAGACGGCCAAAAAGCCCACCGGCTCGTACGACAGGGAGCGACTCATGAAGTATCTGGAGAAGGAGGCCATGGAGCACAAGGACCGGGACGATGTGGTTCCCTTCACCGGGGAGAGGAAAGGTGAGAGAGAGGAAAAGATAATGTTGTCATGGTGACAAGAACAAAAACATGTGCAACGATAGTGGATGCACTTGTACTATGGTTGTTTGGGAGATTACGATTACCGCCAACTAAATTAAAATCCAGCAACACCAATAATGTGGCAGTAACACTGAGTCGGGGCTGAAGAGGAAATGTATTCGCTTTAGGTGGAGAGGCACGGTGGCTGAGTGGACAACACTCTCGCTTCTTAGCATGACGGTCCAGGGTTTAAATCCCAGTCAGAATCGGGTCTTTCTAAGCAGAGTTTGCATGTTATCCCTGTGTCTGCGTAAGTTTCCTCCAGGTGCTTTGGGCTCCCCTACCACTAAAAACATGCACAACTGGTAAATCCTCTACCTCCTGACCAAGCAGAGTATAAACATCTGGAGATGGGTTCCCAGGCGCTGTACTGTGGTGGGCACTGCTCCTGACAGAGGTCAGTGTTTCCCACACATAGACTAATCTGTGGCGCACCGCCACAGATTAGAGACCGCCCGCCACAAATTGCGTTTCGTATTATTATATATATATTTTTTTTGTTACGCTATTTAAAACATGCATCGTCTAGTGCCGCCGCAGCGGTCAATTTGACAGCGGGGAGGGGGGTTTAAAATGTGGCGGCCCTTCGTGAGGCCTGTTTCACACCGCACGTCGAGCGCAGAGCCGAGCGCCCTTTCCAGCCGAACTACCTCGCGGCGAGCGCATGTATTCAGACTGACGCCGAGCGTGGGCGAAGCGCCTAGACGAGTAGCACGCACAAAAGGAGTAGTATTGTACTCCAAACTAATAAACATGTTGTATATTTACATATGTTGTCTGAAATAACAGGTCAGAAATCAAAATAGCACATGTAGACCTTAAATAAATTGCTAACATTTCCTTATAATGTATCTTATAGCCTATTTTGATTGTCGTTTCATTATCATAGTTAATTATAAGGTGTGGGGAAGGCCTGGATCTCCATGGGGGTTAAGGTTAGGTGTGGGGAAGGCCTGGATCTCCATTTGGGTTAAGGTTAGGTGTGGGGAAGGCCTGGATCTCCATGTGGGTTAAGGTTAGGTGTGGGGAAGGCCTGGATCACATGTGGGTTAAGGTTAGGTGTGGGGAAGGCCTGGATCTCCATGGGGGTTAAGGTTAGTGTGGGGAAGGCCTGGATCTCCATGGGGGTTAAGGTTAGGTGTGGGGAAGGCCTGGATCTCCATGGGGGTTAAGGTTAGGTGTGGGGAAGGCCTGGATCTCCATGGGGGTTAAGGTTAGGTGTGGGGAAGGCCTGGATCTCCATGTGGGTTAAGGTTAGGTGTGGGGAAGGCCTGGATCTCCATGGGGGTTAAGGTTAGGTGTGGGGAAGGCCTGGATCTCCATGGGGGTTAAGGTTAGGTGTGGGGAAGGCCTGGATCTCCATGGGGGTTAAGGTTAGGTGTGGGGAAGGCCTGGATCTCCATGGGGTTAAGGTTAGGTGTGGGGAAGGCCTGGATCTCCATGTGGGTTAAGGTTAGGTGTGGGGAAGGCCTGGATCTCCATGGGGGTTAAGGTTAGGTTATAATTATAATATATATTATATATATATATTATATTATATATATATATATTATTATTATATATATATATATGTTACAATTATATTTTATGCATTAAAAAAAAGTATGACATGGAAAACATTGTGTAATTAAAAGAATAAACTTATATGTACTTATGCATTACAATAATGAGATTAGATAAACGTGAAATTGCTTTATAAAAGTTATTTTTTGAATATTTTCGTGCTGAAAGCCGCTTCGCTGCGCAGCCTACACGCGGAAAAAATGCGCTCGAGTTCCATTTTTGGTTTCAGGAGCGGAGGCGGCAGCGGCGCTCGCCGATTCCCTGCGCGCCGCCTCGGCGCCGGTCTGTACACAGAAGAGCTTTCTCATTTGCACAACAGGACGCGACTTGAAGCGCAGCTTGCGAATGCACGCGAGCGGGTTTCGAAGACGAATTCGTTCACGAATTCGTGTGCGTTGTGAAACAGACCTAACTCTCACTCAAGCTACGCGTCTCTCCCACATACAGAGACCTACACACACACAGCCCCTCCCCTTCGTGCACACCGCGTGTCTCCGTCTCCATCAGCGATCATCGCTGTAAGCAGCTGTGTCTATTAATTTACCGCGGTAAAGTGGCCCGCATCTTTCAGCTCTATGAACATGCGGCCCGCATCGGGGAAAAGACGGTGCGCGTTTTGTTGAGAACTTACGGTAACAGCGGAACGTCCTTTCGGAGTCACCCATTTTTATCGAACAGAAAGCGCGCTGGGGTCTGGGAGACACGTTTTTGTGATTAAAACCTTATAGAGATGCCACCCAGTACACATAGCACCAGCCCCCTACGATTCCTCCGGCAGATTGTGAGTCCTCAGGAGGATAGCCACTCTATTGTTTACATGTATAAAGTACACAATTTGGTCCTAGTGCAATTTTCAAGTATTGTATTTACTGGAATAAGGTGTGCGACTAATTTCACTTGACTCATGACCTTATTATTGCCCTCTGCCACTGTACCAAAGACCAGAAACTTTTACTGTAGAAATATTGAGAAATATTGAGGTAAAGTAGCCATTTTGGTCCAAAATACCTCCAAAATAGTCAAAACATGTCACTTTTGATCTACTGTAACTTTTTACTGTAAAAAGGTGTGCGACTAATTTCACTGGATTCATGACCTCAAGATTGTCCTCTACCACTGTACCAAAGACCAGACACTTTTACTGTAGAAATATTGATTTAAAGTAGCCATTTTGGTCCAAAATAGCCTAAAAATGGTCAAAACATGTCACATTTGATCTACTGTAACTTTTCACTGTAAAAAGGTGTGCAACTGATTTCACTGGATTCATGACCTCAGGATTGCCTTCTACCACTGTACCAAAGACCAGACACTTTTACTGTAGAAATATTGAGAAATATTGAGGTAAAGTAGCCATTTTGGTCCAAAATACCTCCAAAATAGTCAAAACATGTCACTTTTGATCTACTGTAACTTATTACTGTAAAAAGGTGTGCGACTAATTTCACTGGATTCATGACCTCAAGATTGTCCTCTACCACTGTACCAAAGAACAGGAACTTTTACTGTAGAAATATTGAGAAATATTGAGGTAAAGTAGCCATTTTGGTCCAAAATACCTCCAAAATAGTCAAAACATGTCACTTTTGATCTACTGTAACTTATTACTGTAAAAAGGTGTGCGACTAATTTCACTGGATTCATGACCTCAAGATTGTCCTCTACCACTGTACCCCACTCCCCCCCCCCCCCCCCCCCCCCCCCCCCCCGCCGACGACCACCACACATTGCCTTCAAACCTGTGGGAAACACTGGAGGTCTTAGTGGCATTTGCAGGATGGGTCAAATGCAGGAGACGCATTTCCTTACAGGGTAAATTCATTTGTATTGCACAGTTCATACACGAGCAACTCAAAATGTGACATTAAATCGGCGAAGACGCAATCCCTCAGTTGTAGGCACAGCTAAACAGAGCATGGATTTACATTTACACAATATACTGAATACTATATATTTTGTACCATAGATTCATAGCTTATTCATGCTCTTACATCTGTTTGGCGGAACATGTAGCTACAATGATGTCATGTCAAAAGCACTTCCCTGTTGATCATGTCATTACAAACCCGCCAGACCACTCGGGCTTGTTCAAACTAAACTCGAGTCGTGTTTGGAGCTGTACAGGACAAAAGATCGCCACAATAGCTTTAATAGGAAGTGTTGGATGTCCGTGTTGTATTTCTCGCAGACATAAGATGGAGGTGTGCTGCTAACATGTAATTACTGTCCAGGTCCTGGGACTGCTATTATTTATGGGTGTGCTGCAGGTTTCAGCGAACTATATCACTCTGTGAATGTGAATCTGCCCCATGGGAAGAGAACCAGCAGTGGCAGAGAAGAATACGGGGTTATTGGATATCCTAGCACCATATGTTCAGCACAGGCGTTTGATATGCAGTCGTGTGTTAGATTAGATGACCTCATTCTCCAAGGTCTACTGTAGTTCTGAGTAAACAAAAACTTGACTCGAGGCTGAAGATTGTGGGGTTTGGTTTTTCCCTCAATTTGCAATGTGTTTTCAATTTGTTGCTTTGCTTGCTGTAAATGTGTACTGTAAGTGTTTCCGTTCTGACTATAAAGCACATAATCTTTCACATACTGAGAGCTGATTGGTTAGTTGAGGGCTGGTTCTGGTGAAAACGAGTGATAGTACCATAGACCGTACTTTAGGAGTGGACTGACAGAGCGCAGAGAGTGTTAGCCTTAATGCGGAAGAGGCTGATTTGAACATAAGCTAGCTGGAGGTACTTTCCCTATGGGCAGATGGATTGCTAGAGCAAGCTGGAGTTTTCAGGCCTTGGAGAGACTTGTACAGTCTTTACTTTAAAGTTTTCTCTGAGCCACAAGAAGCCAGTGCAGAGACCTGAGAACTGGGCTAATGTGATCGTACTTCCTGGTTCTAGTCAGGACTCAAGCTGCATGAGCAATATTTAACAGTTTGACCACGTGTACATTTATTTTCAAGTTTATTAGATCCACTATTTGATGGTGACAGTCCTTGTGAGAGCCAAAACAATAAAATTCCTGAAAAGTGTTTAATTTAAAGTCAAAAGTATAAGATAGTTAAAAGGTCAATCAGATTATATGTTAAAAATTGTTAAACGTTAAGTCCTTTTGTTCTTGCTTGTAATTTGAAGTCAAAGCCTTTCATCCCACATTTAGAGCACAAGACATCAGATGCGCCCTTTGATTCTCAGAGCTTAAGTTGGTGACATAACCCTAAATGGAAAACAGCTCTTTAGAGATCAACTGCACTTTGTTTTTCCACTTCTGAACAAATTCTGTTTTTCCACTATTGCAAAAAACTATATAAAACTTTTATAACGTCTTACAAATATGTATCTTTGGTGCGGTACGCAGTGGCGCTCACGATTACTGGTACGTATACTGATACAAGAAAAAAAGTGCAGTATAAACAAATTATTCCAATGTTAATATTCCTGAAAATGATTTGTTGCATGACTATATAGCCATGATGTATGTAGATTCTTATCCTGCATGTGTCTGCAGTAGGTTAGACTACTGTAATGGCCGGCTCACATTTTTGAGTCGTTCTTTGCCAACGCAGGAGGTCTATGGACAGTGATGATTTGGGACATTTATGGTCATCATTCTCCCTATGGACCAATGGCTCCTATGTGTTTGCTCTTAATGTATTTCCTCTGTTCGAACCACTTTGTAAAGTCCTCGGAGGCCACTGCTGTTGTGAAATAGGCCTGTACAATAATAAAATGAATTTAAATTACAAATTGCTATTTTGTGGTGGTAACTGTATGGGCTCCGATCATGACGCATGGAAAACTCAGTTCACAGTCGGATGTGAGGAATGCAGCGCTGCCCTTGTTTCTCTGCCCCCCACTGAGGAATAACCTTTTAGTGAGAGAATCTGTATCATGGACCATTTCAGAGCCGCTTGTTTATGTACCACATTTACCCACTTGTGAGAGTTAGAGACCTATGATGTATTATGCATAATTTTGGCACCATAAACATTTCTATTTTATTTTTTTGCTTTTGACGGTTCATTTTAAAAAAATTGAATAATCTTTAACTTAAAGATTGATCATGAAATTTCCCTCTTCTCCCATCAGATAGAATGATTTTCATTATATATTGTATGCAGCATTAAAGACACACAGATGTAAACTTTTATTGGAGGAAATCCCTCTTACTAATTTGTAATATTTTTGTTTTGAAAGTGAGAGAACTGCTCTGAACATGATATATTGTGTAGATTCTTCATACAGTTGTGCTTGAGAGTTTACAATCCCCAGTGAGATTTCATTGTTTTGTGAGAGACCAAGAGGACCAGAGCTGGACAAAATGCGTCACATGTTTGGGGCGTCCATGGTTTTGTCACTGAACCTTTTGATCACACCACTTTTGCAACATGGCACATAGCTTCCAATCAAACCTGTTTGATATACTGTAGATGCGATATATGTTGCCAATAATTGTCTACTGAAAAGTTCTCAACAGACTTTCAAACTTGGAGTATTACATTTGAGGGAAATTGAACAATAGCTTCACTTATGACTTTGTTTGTCTACATTTGACCACAATTTACACTTTTCTTACTTCTACTCGCTTCTGATCTCTTATAAACACCGGGGCTAATCTGCTGCTCATGATGCAAACAGGAAGTGCCATGGCCTCCATTGGGACCATGTGGGGCAGGGAGGAAACATTATTCTTGCCATTTGTCATGATGAACATTCAAAGAGTGAGTTGCCCCAGGAGTCAACACATGATTCCAGCTTTCGGTACAAACTCCAGTTTTCATACAGGTGTGGTTGTATAGGGTTACGATTTTTGCTCTACGATTCAGCCCTAAATCTAAACCAGTAATTTCCTCGAAGGGTTTTACAAAGTAGTCCGGGTCAATTTGCCAACACAGATCAGACAATCAACATCAACAAACACATAGAGGGTCCACAGAGGGCAGATGACCATTACCCATAAGTGTTAATAGATGTCCATAAATGTCTTGGATCATCACCACTGCCATTAGACCCTCCTGCATCTGCAAGGAACAGCTCAAAAATCCAGTGAGGAAAAGTGGGAAACCTCTCGGAGGCCCACATTGAGAGAGGGATCGCTCCCATGGACGAACATGCCATAGATCCAAGACTCAGGCCGTAGAGCGTGGACTGAGGCTGTACAGTGCAAAACTGAGGCAGCTCCCAGGAGGGGAGGGGGGTGCAGCCAACAAGTCCGGGGCAGGGGAGACCAGTCCACGGGGGCAGATCAAAGAGGCTGGATTCGTGTTACAGCATGATATTCAGCCAAAATATGATAGCTCCCCTCAGCATCTGCTGTGTCACCAGTAGATAAGTTTGCTTTGAAAAACCAAAACTTAAAATTGAAAAACATGATTGCACAAAAATGATTGATAAAAAACATCCTAACCCATTATCAGAGTATTTAAAATAACATAACTCAGAATTATTCAAAAAACATGTACAGATCTTGTGTACAATCTTTTATACAGATCTTTTTTGATCTTTAGAAGAGTACCAAACTTCCTCAATAAGTTCTTAATTTCAGCGTGCTTAAAGATCCCTTTTAACTCTCGATCAGGTTTTGAGATTAAAAACATTTGGGTTGCTGTGGTTCACAAAAGGACAAGCGCCTGAATTAATTACAAAGTGGCTTCATCACTTTGGAATAAACTTGATCTCTCACATGGGCCTTTTGTCTCATGACTTTGGCATGAAGCCTCTCTCTGGGAAAAATCAAAGGCTGCAGAGGAAAAAGCTAATGGAATTTACGTACTTCACCAGTTGAGTGTAGAATTAACTTTTGTTTTGAGAAAAATCTAATAAATGTACAAGTTGGGTGGACAGATTTTTTTCTCAGTTTGACGACTGGTAAGGATAATTGAACTTGTATGTCTATGTAAAAGTGAAGGTTTTGTCTATAATATTACTTACTGTCGTCTACTGCTGCTGCTTATGCTACTACTATCACTACTACTACTGCTGCTGCTACTGCTGCTGCTACTGCTGCTGCTACTGCTGCTGCCAGTTTACTACAGATATATTTGTGGGGGGATAAGTTATGAGCACAGGGCTTGTCAATCTAGCAGACGTGGCTTTAGTAGTAAAAAAGGTTTTGATCCACCGCTCTACGCTGTTTACTAGTTTGTGATTAACTCCTGGTCTTTGGTTCTTTGTTTTTTGCAGGTAAAGTTTTTGTCCCGAAACAGAAACCAATCGACACACGTCTTGAAGAAGTCACAACCCTCGACCCTGAAATAGAAGAAGCCTTATCCAGCGCCTCAGACACAGAACTGCGAGATCTTGCAGGTCAGACTACTACTGCTATAGCTACTGCTAGTTTACAGTACCTCTACTGAACTGTGCACATTGTAAAGCACTTTGGGTGACCTTGGTCTGAAAAATGCGCTATAAAAAACGATTCATTATCTAAAAGTTACACAGGTTACACAAAGATGTAATTTATTTCTTGAATAAAACGTTAAACATGTCTCTAGAAGCATCTAATCTGACAGCACGTGCTGGTGAGAATCATTGAAAGAGCCTGACCCTGTGGTCTGCTGGGACGTCCCAACACAGTTTCCCATGACTCTGTTCACCTCTGCATTAGCCCATGTGTTTTTTCAATTAGCCTCTGTGTGCGACATGCTGTCTGCAAATGACTTTATTCAATTTTGTGTTTGAATAGAATGGGACACTGTTCTGATTTGTTTTTAATTTGCAGCGATCCTGGGAGTTCACACACTGGTCACCAATAATCAGACTTATGACGGAAGCGGCAAGGGCGGCTACAACAGTGAGTTTGGACATGACACTATGGCCGTGTTTTAATATCTTAAAGTTTAATTGTTTTACCTTAAACATACTAGGGCTGCACAATTTGGCCAAAACCTCTACATGTAAATGTGATGTTTCTGACCAACTTTGCAACTGTAATGTGTTTTAGGAGACCCTTTATGTTTAAAATGCATCATTTTGTCCAAATAATGTGTAAATAAAGTTCTAACTTATAATAGTACTACTATTTTTTTTCAAGTAGAAATGGAAGATTCACTGCAAAATAAATCTATTGTTTGTCCGTCCAGGGGAGCAGATTCCTCTCAATATGGGCCTCCCTGAGGTTTCTTACTTTTTTGTTGAAGTTGATGTAGGAGTCTACATTTATGTTCAGTGGTCATTCTGCTCCTGCTGCTGTTATTTAGGAGTACACAAAAATAAATTGAATTGAAAAATTTGAAATATATATAAAGTTGAAATAGGTTGTTTTGATCCTTTCTCAAACAAATTGTATCAAACATGGTTTGTACAACACATTTTGAGAACATAATGTTTCTTCTGTCCGACAACAAGACAAAATATACTTCAAATAAAGAGACATTTTCCCATTTTTTAAACTTATTTTTAGTCTTTTTTTCTTCTTTGCGATTTGCTAATTGCAACCATACAATTTAATATCACAAATATCTGATGTTTTGGTCACATTTGTTTTCATGTGTGTTCTAGATGTGGTGAAGGGAGAGAAAATGAACCCGGTTTTTGACGATCCTCCAAACTCCACCAACGTTGAGGAAACTCTACAGAGGATAAAAACCAACGACAGCACTTTAACAGAAGTCAACCTCAACAACATTAAGGTCTTTTATTAAGCATGATAACTGACAATTGTTTAGTTATAGGTTTAGAGGGATTCATGCAGGTTAGTCAAAAAGTCTCAAATCAGCTCCAAGAGAAACCCAAGCAGCCGTCAGCCTAAAGTGTCAAATAGTGACTGACAGAACTCTTGACTTTTGCATGGATCTTTTCTTTGGGTCAAACAACATGGATAATAGTAAAACCAAAATGTGATGTGCCCTACCTTTAACTGTTTGTTCCTTGCTATTTCAGCAGAGTTCTAAAGGCATTTTAGCACAATTGTAAAGATAATTATCTGCTCGCCAACATGATCTGAAAATGCACATCTTTTATCCTGGAATGGGGCAGACTTGTTTCTTTTATCTTGTCATTTTAGACTAATTCAGATTTCTTACTGTATGTTCCAAATATGTAATACGGACCGTCCCTTGTGTCATAGGCAGTAATTAAAGAACATGTCTCGTTTTCTTTCACCAATAATAACATGTATAATTGGTACATTTTCACAGAACATTCCTATTCCTACATTGAAAGACTTGGCGAAAGCCATGGAGACCAACACACACGTAAAGAAGTTTAGTCTGGCGGCGACGCGGAGTAACGACCCCATCGCCGTGGTGAGCTTATTTATATAATGAACATATGTTTTTGTAGTATGGGATCTAAAATGCTGTGTGTGTTTTGCAGGTGTTCGGGGAGATGTTGAGGGAGAATAAGTCGCTAAAGAGTTTAAACCTGGAGTCAAACTTCATCACAGGAGTCGGAGTGAAAGCTCTTGTGGATGCGCTACGAGACAACGACACACTCATAGAGATCAAAATAGACAACCAGGTACGAAGCATCAAGTCTACAGTCATTACTACAGACTTTTTTGTATTTTGTATATATTTTTTTCCTAGTGCTATTTATATTATACATATGTATTACTATATACAAACTTTATAATTATCATGATGTTTCCTTTTCATAATGTGCAGTTCCCAGTTCCCAACCCTGGGGACAGGTCTGCAAGGTTTTATAGGGGTATTTAATATGAACTTGCCAAAGTATGGGCTTGTTATTGCTAATGTCTAAATCATTTTTAATGCGTGAGTACACCCCAGAAAGTCCTGCTTTGTCATTGGCCAGAGCGAACGCACAAACTCAAAGTGGCTGAATGATAGAAGCCTGTCTCACATTTTTAGGAAGACTGTTCCAGATTTTAACTGCACAAATCTGAAATGTTTAGTTTTGACTCTGGGCCAGCAGGAACCCAGTCCCTGTGCTCCACAGAGTTCGAGGTGGTTTATATGCACATGTTACAGATGTACTTGGAGGGACACAAGCAGAGCTGCTTTAAAGTCTGAGCCACAGGAAGCCAGTGCAGAGACCTTAGAACTGGACTGATGTGATCTTAATTCCTGGTTCAAGTCAGGACTTAAGCTGCAGCCATTGTGAATGTACTGAAGATGTTTTACAGCTCTTCTGGAGAACCATTATAGTACTAACCTAACCTAACTAAGAATAAGTAAAAGGATCAGATCCATTCTTTCCACAATGAATGCAATGGTTAATCAGTAAACTAGGAAAGCCTTTAAAAGTGGCAGCCCTGTGTTTGTCCATTGGTCTCTCCTGCAGAATTCAGGCACATTTCATTATGTGACATTGAAACACAAAGCCGTGCACTCATTGTTCTCAGTCTGTCCCTGATAATAGACAACATTATTAAAGCCCAAGCCTGGAGCTGAGGGCCACACTTCCTGAAGCCGGAACCTTGTGCTCCGCTCTTCAAAACCACCAGATAAACCATGAGTTCAACATATCACTAGTTACATGATACCCAAGTGCCCAGCCATTACAAGACATTTTGTTGTATTTGTTTCTATGTGATATATTGTGGTTTTGAACTTTCCTTGTTGTGTTTATTCCCATGTAAAGCCCTCTTTCTTTGTGATCAGTATCTGACAGTATCCAGGTTATGATACAGGATACTCTCATTTGTACATGCTGACATTATCCAGGTTTGGGTTGTACTGAGCATGTGCGAGCTCAAGAGACAAACACTTCTATTCAATTCACTTCAATTCAATGTATTCGTGTATAGCTTTAAATCGCAACAGCAGTCGCCTCAGAGGACTTTACAAAGTTGTTATGTCACAAACAACAAATCAGAGAATCAGTTCGAATAGCAATAAAGGCAAACGCATAGAAGAAATTGGTCCATAGATCTGGAAAATAGGTCTTCCTGAAAATGTGAGACAGGCTTCTGACAATTTTCAAATCCCGTTCTGTTTAGCTGTTCATACTACTGAAGGATTATATCTTCACTGGTTTTAATGTGCTGTGGTTATTAGTCATTTGAATGCCTTCTTTATGAACTGTGCGACAACTTTTTGATAATACTGGCTCACATACCCTATTGTGTTTTTGTTTCAGAGGCAACAGCTGGGCACGACTGTAGAGATGGAAATCGCTAAAATGTTAGAAGAAAACCAGACGATAATAAAGTTTGGATACCATTTCACTCAACAGGGACCAAGGTCTCGAGCCGCCGCAGCCATCACCAAGAACAATGACCTGGGTACGAAGTCCGCCACATTCTACAAACCTGCTCTTTATTGTTAACACACAAATAGTTATTTTAGTTTTACACTAGTAAAGTACAGTGTTTTATGGTAGTTATAACATAGATTCTTCTTATACTCGTCCCAAAAAATGTCCACTTTTGACTTTATTTAGTATCTCCATCATTAGTATCAGTATCTACTATTGCATGTTTTACCTGTGATTCCTCAAGTAAAAAACCACGCCATTGAGTTTACTCTACAGATCAAACCCAAAAGGCAATTCTTCTGTTTTAGGCCAAGCACAACTGTACTGTTTATTTTTTCTTATTTTTTTAAGAACATCCAACCTCATTCAGTATATGCAGTATACCTCAGTAATGTAAATGACAAAAATTACCACCTTTTGAATGGAAGATACTGTGATTTATTATTGACCGTCATTAACATTGAGAGATCCTTTATTTGTCCTACAGATGGGACATTTCAGTGTTGCATCACAAATTACAGAACAGTAGGAATGAGGAGCACAAAACACACAGAAAGTGAATATTAAGTTTAGCACAACTACATACTTCTATCGCCAAGTATCTATCGCCATATTGTGATTGCCATGTTTTTATTATATTTATTTTATATGGACACAACATACAGTTATAAAAAGACAACGCTAATTTTCAACACTTGTTCATTGAAGGCTTTTACATCTTATCTTGAGGGTCCCAGAGATTCTCACTCTTAGTTTTAATACTACAGTAATTCTTACATCTATTCATATACATTTGTCAACACCATAGCCCAAGAATACAACATGTAGCATATTAATGTGTATTTGTGTTTCCACATGTACCCAGATGTGTTACGGGTTACTTTCCCTAAAAACCTTGAGTTTTGTGCGTCCATGCTCAGTTTAAATTGGTGCTTTCTCTTCTAGCCTCCTCTATCTTCAAAGCGCTCATGGCTCAGGTCTGGAGCATGTGGGTGGAACAAACTAACGATGCATTCATTTCAGTGTTTTGTGTTCACGTCTGCGATGGAGGAGACGCACTCACTGCACTCTGCTGTTCAGACTCTGCTTTTGCCACATCGTTTCAGATCAGTCACTTAGAACTAACAGAAATCCACCATGTTTAGACTTCAGGCGTTTTCAATTCAATAACTTGTGTTTGAGACGGGTTAAAAACACCTAACATCACTACATTTTAGATTCTTGCAATTATTTATTATTTTACAAACATAATCCCAGTTTGACCATCATTTTAGATTCATAATTATCTTCCTGATTGTCATTGTTGACAAAGTGCTTGCAATATTAGCAGGCACAGTGGTGAGCAAACCACGGCCTGTGTGTCAGATGCGGACCTTTTTGGAGATTTCTATGAGACCCCTGAGCCGCCCTCTGTTTATGTATATATAGTTAGTATCCAGATTATAAAATCCCTCTGCTGCATCCACAGCTCTGGTGCCGCAGTTGCACTCCTTTCTCTGCCGCGGTGTATAATATTTTATATGATATATTTATGTGTAAAAAAAAAAAAATTAAGCCTGAGAAAAACATTGGAAATTAAGTCCACCCCGCCAAACCACAGATTTATATAAATGGACAATGCTAACCTGCTAGAACAATCAAACCTGGACCACAAGAGTAAAAGGACCTATGGACCTTTTACTCTTGTGTCCGAAATAAAGTATTGAATTGAATTGAATGGAAACCCAATAGGAACGTGTTCCAACTCGCTTTGGCTCCTATTGACTTGCATTGGAAAGTAAACTCCTTTAGCTCAGTAACCGTTTGTGTCTCACTCACCGCTTTGGTCTTGTAGTTTAGCGCCATCTACGATCCTGGTGTTTATTATATGATATTATCTTTATGAATCCAGAAATAAGCCGTAAAGATTAAACCTCTAACTTGTCTTAGCAACCATAAAGCCTGTCAGAAGAAATGCCCTTATAAGGGAATTGGCTCCAGCTAGCTTATGTTCAAATTGGCTTGGTCCGCATTTGGCAAACACTATGGTGAGGTCAGCACTCGGTCAGTCCACTCCTGACATACGGTCTGCAGGCGAAACCCAGTGGGCACAGACCACCAGGCTTATTGCTCTACTGCATTAATGTAATGCAACTCTCTGTTTTGTAATTCATACAGTTATTCACTATTCTGCAATAACTACATTTTAAAAATATACTTCCCCAGCACTGAAAACACATTGCAGTCGTCAAAAGTTGTCGATTCACCAAAAACAGATCAGAGAATCAGAGAAAGTCTTTGGACCATAGGAAGCTGGATGACCAATGTCTGTAGACGGTAATAAATGTCCATAAATGTCCCGATCATCACCCACAATTATCTGTATTCCTGATGGAAAAAGTATGTTTTGATAATAACACGTCTAAACTTAAGGTAAATGTTTTTTTGGCATGGATTTCTTGTTACGCTTTGAATGATGTGGATGCTGCGCCAATTCATCTGCGTTTATGACACGGTTTATAACAATCTTATTTCCATCGCACAGAAGAGTGACACCAGGTTTGCATGGAGTGGTATTTGTGTCCACGCCTACAGACTATATGTTTCTTATTGATACTCCTGAATGCTCTAAACGGCTGCCATGTGTCTCTCCAGTGCGCAGGAGGCGAGTGGAGGGCGATCTCTGAGAAGCGGGGAATCATCTCGTTCAATATCTCTGCTCTCGTCATCTCACTTTGTGCCAAACCGCGGAGCATCGTCGGCACATGGGTCGAAAAACAAGGGAAAACTGGAAACGCTCTCTCCCCCACACATTTATACCTTTTTTTTTGTTTATTTTTATTGCGTTGTGTTTTGCTGCAAGATGGTTCCGTTTGTTTTTTTGTCCTGTCGTTTTCATTTCACCTGCCCCTTATCAAGCCTTCAATATGATCTGTCCATTTTTAAATATGTTCTTGATGTAATCGTGGGAATTAAGGACCAATTATACACCATATATCCACTATATGAACTAACGAAAATACAATGAATGTGTCTTATGTTCTGAATGCCGCTTGCATTGAATGAAAACTTGTAACTGGTGATGGTTCGTTGCTATAGCTACTGCATTGAACCTCAAGCTCCCCCCATCAAGGAAATATTGTACAGTAAAACGCTTTATGCACATTTTTTGTACGTGTATATGAATCGTTTTGGCTTCTCATGTCATTTATCAGACCATAGTTATTATGTTGGAGCCTATTAGAAAGATATTCAGACTGAACAAGATCAATCAAAGGCTGAAAGGGATAGTGCGGTTTTTTGGGTCAAGGTTTAGAACGTGGTTGATATGAGTGTGTTTATGCGGTTATTGTGTGGAAAGGGACGCCATGATTTAGTATTCTTAAAAGTTGACCTTGTTGTGACCCAGCGGGTGTATGAAAGGCAAGTTTATTTGTACAGCACAGTTCATACGCAAGGCAACTAAGTGCTTAATAAAACAAGATTCATACAAGGAACTGAAATTATGTTGAATATTTAAAGATGACGACATGGGGCTGAGTGGGTAGCCAATCTTGAGTGCGAATCCCTGTTGGAACGCGGTCTTTCTGAGTGGAGTTTGCATGTTCTCCCCGTGTCTGTGTAGGTTTCCTCCGGGTGCTCCGGTTACTACTACCACTAAAAACATGCACAATCGGTTTGAATGGAACAACGAGTGAGTGAATGGATGGTGGTGATTGGAGGCTTTGATGCACCTGTGTGTTCAGCGTCTCACTTTCATCATCACCGTGTGTGGAGAGAATGGAAAAATATCTGAACTCTGAACATTATAAAGCGCTTTGGGTGACCTTGGTCTGTAAAAATGTGCAATATAAATAAAGTACTTACTTGAAAAGATTATTTGCCATTTGCAGTAAAACCACATTGGAATACATTTGCATCAAGTCCCTAGTGTGCACAAGACAAGTACATAAATAATAGAAATAAGGTTAAAAGTACAGAGGTAAAACAAAAGAGTGAAGATCCTTACTTACTTACAATTCATAGTAAGTAAGTTATTATTTATATAGTGCATTTCACAGACTAGGGTCACACAAATCGCTTTACAATTCTTGTTTTTGCCATTCTCCACACACCGTGATGACAGAAGATAAATGAGACGCACACTCCGGTCCATCAAAGCTGCCAATCATCATAATCCATTCTCTCATTACATTCAGACCTATTGTACATGTTTTAGTGGTAGGGGCAACCGTAGTACCTGTAGGAAACCTACGCAGACACATTTGTGGATGTATAATCACTTATTCCACTTTGAAACTAAAGCTAAACGTACAAACCAGTAAAGGAGAGACATGTTAATTTATTTGGAAGACGGTTCTTGAACAGGCCTGTATAAAACAATGAGGCGGACTAAAGCGTTGCAAAAATGTTCCAAACTGCTCGTAATATTTATTATCCCGCACTATTCCTTTTTAGAAAATCTTCTGCAGAGCTGAACCAAGCCAAAGACATACAGTTTTAACGTGGATCTATTTCTGTAACACATCGTGTGTGAAAATCTCTCTACAACTTAACACTTAGAAAGTTTTTTTTATGAGACAAAAGTGTAAAGAAGCTGGTTCCGCCTATTTACCACATGATTGGGTGGTGGACTCCTGCCTTTACAGAGACATGTGATGGTGTGACGTGTGGTCAGTCTGACAGATGGAGCACACTGGCCACGCCCCTTGCCGCGCTGTGGTGATGTGAGTCCCGAGTGTGAGCCAAAGTGAAGGCCCCCACGTCTCCATGAATCCTGCTTCCTGATTTCATTTGTGTCTCTTATTCATCTTTTCTATTTGCCTTTTACTATTTTTGCATTATCCCAAGTTATTATAGGATATGATGTATATTTGTCAGACTGACCGCATAAGTAACAGCAGCTGAGCAGAGACAGCGCGGCCGAAGTCTACCTCCCAAACATGTGTTGCTAGCTAGTCCAAAGTAGTACTAGCTTCTTTACATTCTTTTTCTAATTCAAATGACCTTCTAATCCTTAAACATATAGAATACATAATTAACTGATTTTTATAATTCTTTGAGAAAATCTTGTTAACTTCAGCCCGGCCACAAAACACTTGGGTTATTTTCAGCATGTAAATATTCTGCATGATCTCATCGCTTCACACATCCTGTATTGTGCTTATTTGGGCTTGAACACCATAACATAATGTACATTTTTCTGCTTGCTTCTTTACTTTTATTGACTTGACTGGAAGGTTCCACAGTATGGCATTTACTACTACAATTTTTGCAGCATTTATTCAAACCACTGGTGCTTAAAATGCCTTAAAAGCTTGAAAACAAGAGATGACTCCAACTTAGAAGCAAGCAGAAAAACGTTACAAAGTGCACTTGTGAAAGAATGCACCACTGGTTATTGAATTCCTGAGTCCTGACTTAAAGCTGGGGTATGTAACTTTCACACCACAATATGGAACTATGTAATGAAATCCATGTGACAAGTTCCTGGCTCAAAAAAACAGTTTTATTTTCTCTTGCATGAAATTGTTGGCATCTGTCACAGCTTGATGAAGGCTGCATGTTGTGGTCACAAACGGGGATAAACAACACTTATTATTACAAAGTTGTCGATTCAACAAAAACAGATCAGAGAATCAAACAGTCATCTTTAAGCTTGTGTTGTGGGGACAGTTTTTGCAAGATTATGGAAACAGCTCTCGGACTAAATATAGCAAAATATGGGACCTTCAGTCACTTTAATTTTCAGTCATTTTTTTAATTTTCTTTCCTTTGTTTATTTCTTATACTGCTTGTTGATACTGGACTCCTCACTTATGTACATTGATTATGAAATGCCATCTCATGTCCTTGAGCGGGCGATGTGTTTTTGATCAGAAGTCCTATTGTATGTAATGGATAAAAAGCACTGCTGATGTAAGTCTTCATCAATAATAAATGTTTTTACATGAGTGTGGTTGCTCCTCTGTGTTATTGTCTTCATGCAGTTCTGTAGATATTTATCTGACTTGTTCCTGTCACTTTTTCCCCCTTGTTTCTGTAGAATCCGGATGGAGAGCACAAATACAATAGATTAAGAGATGTTTCCTTCGTCTCACATTTTGGGTCATTTCAGAGCAATAGAGCAACATGTTCACACACAAGTGAATCTATAATGTGGACTACCCCTGCAGCAGCCCAAAGCGTCATATAGTGACTCAAGTGGCTTCTAAGAACATTTTCTGAAAAATTGTGAAACATGACCATTACAGCGTAGTAGTGTCGTCACATTACTTCATCTAAAACTTTTTTGTTAATGCTGTAAATACTCAGTACCCACAGCAACTAAACAATAGTGTCTAGTTTTAGATTGGATGACTTCATTCGATTCCGAGAGCAAATTCACGTGCAGCAGTACATTCAAGACAAGACGAGCAATACGATACAATGAGACCATAACTGTAAAACTGCTGCAGAATCTAAACGCTGCAGCTTGAGTCCTGACGAGAATTAGGAAATAAGATCACATTAGTCCAGTCCCTACACTGGGCTAATGTTAGAGAATATTGTGCTATCCTGCCACAGTGATTAGAAAGAGAAGAGAAATACCCTCAATTAGGGCCTAACAGGTAGGGCTGGTCAAAATGGAGAAATCATCAACATTGTGTGGGAAAAAAGGCTATTTTTAAATCACTGTGGCCCAAGGATAGCACAAGGGTTAAAGCAGCCTAGAGTCAGGACTAGACATAAGGAGGCACTATTTCCGATGAATGCAGCTAAAATCTGTAACAGTCTTCCAAAAAATGTGAGACAGGCTTCTAGTGTGGCTATGTTCAAATCCAAATGAATGTACTGTGATTATGTGTGATTGTAATGCTTTTTGTGAATGTCCTGTGCTATACAACTAAACTAGCATATCCTTAACCAAACAACATAGTAAGGCTCGCTGAAGTAAAATGTGTAAAGCATATCATCTGAGAACATGCCCCAGCTTCAGGATGAACATGATCCAGGGTGAGGGAGGTGCTTCTCTGCTCTCGTCCTTAATCAAATCCAGTTTTCAGATTGTTTGCTCATTCCTGTGAGATGATGTAATGCTCTGGGCTGCTCTGTGCCAAACCCAGAGGCCAGAGGGAAGTGACTCAAGATTTCCACGCTCACAAAATAAAAGGCTGAAGAGAAACTGGCAACTCCACGAAGACTGAGAGAGGCTCCAAGAGGGCCAAGTTTAGAAATCAGTCTTCTTATGTAACTACTGTAACATTGTCACAGGAAGAGATAGACCTGTATTGTCTTAATATTGGCCGAGCAGCTTTAGATTCTAGACCTAAATAATTAACAAGTAAGATGGTACAGTGAAAGGGTCATTTCAATTCACCAGACTGTAAACTTTTAAGTGGATTCAGGCTTTATCCCCAGAACTTACAAAGCAGTCAAAACAAGAAAAAACCTTCTGGAAGTGTGATTACTCTATGTATGTACCTTTTTCAAATCAATCAAACTTTATTCATAAAGCACTTTACAAGGCTTCTACAGATATTAATGCCTTGTTATGATTGATTAAGTTTTGTTTTGAGTTCAAAACAAACTCACATGCCCTTGACTTTTCACACACCATCAACACAAACACACACATATTTACAGGCACACATACACACACACACACACACACACACACACACATTCACTGGCACACACACACACACACACACACACACTCAAG